CAGGAAGCTCGGGCTCTGTGGTGTTACCCTCGACTCAAACCAGTACAGTTTACGTGCAAGGGCAAGCCCGAACCCCAAACACTCATCTCAGAAGCTCAACCCGAAAGCCCTACCCTAAGCCCAAACCTCAACGATTTGCCCGCAAACCCTCACGTGCATGCTGTGAAACTGCTAAACCTAGACCCTAAGCCCCGAAGCCTCCAACATACTCAAACCTCAAAATTACAGGTCATTCTTCTTATGGCCTGCCCTTCGGCAAGTAGTGCTTCTGTAAGTTGCTAAGGACTCAACTGATTTGCAGGTGGTTACCATGCACGTGTCAATGTGGGCACTGCCTCGTGGTTAGCTTATTCCATGTGGCCGAGTATCAACCCTCCGACCAAGCCGCTGTACGGCTCTGGCGCACCCCAGACGCAAAGCTCAGCCCGATCGAGCCATGCGGGATGCGGAACGGCTGGACCTTGCCAGGTCAAGGAGGCTCGTGCTGCTCCGATGCCACACTGAGTTGTCCAAGTGAGCGTCTTTGCTCCAGGTCGACGAGTCAAGCCCTTTGCGCCAAGCGGTTCGGATTTTCGGTGCGCAGTTTGATCCTAGTCCATGGAGTCCAAGTCATCGATGCCCAACGGCTCCAAGTGCTCGGTGACGTTGGCGTCGCCTTCCTTGCTGCCTTCTTTCAGCCCAAGCCGGATCAAGAGCGTCTCGAGGGCTTCGGATGCCTCTTCGGCCGCCTCGGTCGGAGAACCCAGAGCTTTGTGAGCTGCCAACTCCTTCCGCAGCAAGAAGCAGCGCTTCAGGTGGAAGGGGCCGTAGCGCTCCAGGCAGCAGGCCTGAAGCTCCTTCGACATGAGAAGAACCGTCGAAAAGTCCTCGGCCAACTCGGCAGTGGACAAAGCGAGGCTCTGCAGCTCCTGACGGAACTGAGGGTGAGAGTCGGGAAAAGGCGAAGAAAGGCGCGCCTGCAGGATCACGGCTTCCCGATGGACCGCTGGCTGCAGCTTGGCCAGGGTGCCTACAAGAGCAAGACAAGAAGAGAATTTTTCTTCTAGAGGAGCTTCGCTGCGAAGGGGGCCTTGGATGATCCGGAGGTTGCTCCGAGCGCTGCTTTTTTCCACCGGCGCCAACTTGGCCAAGCCCTTCACGGCTTCGGCAACGGCGGCGTCTGCCGACGCGCTGGCAAAAGGCACCTTCAGGGCCTTGAAGACCAGGATCATTTTTGAAGCTTCCGCCTCCTCTGGAATCGATCTTTGGAAGAGAGAGAGGAGGAGCTGCCCCTTGGCATCGCTGACGGACTCAAGCTGCTTCAGGAGCCCGCTGGGAGTCAGATCCTTCATGCACTTCGCACACTTGCAGCTGAACCAGTGCGAGGCTTGGAGGCTTCTTCGTCTCTCCCAGACGGGGCGAGCCAAGTCACCGTAGGAGATGGTGAGGCTTTCACCCGGCTCAACGTCTCGCACACATTGGAGCTCCAGGGTTGGGCGCGCTCCCTCTCCCGGGAACCGGAACAGGAATTGGCAGGTCGGAGCACAGTCGTGGTTGGCGAGGGAGCCCTCTGCAAAGAGTGCAGAACCCACCGACTCGAAGCAGGAGTGTTCAACCACGCCCATCATGTTGCATTGCATCTGCAGGAGGACCCCAATCACCAGCTCTTGGCTCACCTTTCCAAATTCAAAGGAGCTTCCGAAAATAGGGAACCCTAATACAGTACCCTAAATAGTCGGATCCTCATTATGAGGACCCCCAAATACAAGGTACCCCTCATTTTCGGAAACTCCCTCAAGGCTCCAGGAAGCGGCGCCGGGAAAAATCACCCCCACCCGCCCGCCTGGTGCATCCGAGCATGCCGGAACTTCTCGGGAAGCAGCTGCGGCACCTCCACTGCAACCTCCAGCAAGCTCTTGGCGATGGCCACCTTGTCTGAAGAACTACCAACTGCATCCAATAATAATAATTATCATCATAATACTACTACTCATAATCACAATTATGACTAAATCAATCAGCGCCGAAGCCACCGGAATCGCCAGCGCCGGGGCTTGGAGCATGGCATGCAGGGCTTTCGGCCGACCCAGCAACGGCGACGCCAGGCTGGCGGCCAGAGACTCCGGGGGATGCCTCGGTCCGAAAACCCTCAGAAAAGCTTCCTTTTGGCTTGTTTATAATATATATATATATATATATATATAAGCCCAAGTAACGGTCAAGTTTGCTGCAAAAGCTTTTCACTGTTCTTTACATAGCCGGCGCAATAAATGGCGTGATCAACACCGTCCAGTCTGACATAATCATGCACATCATCGTGTTGTTTGTGTTTGCTGCTGCTTCATCTAATTCCTGCAGCATGCCCTGCTTGCATCCTCTCTTTCTGCTTCCGTCCTACAGTAGATGAAATGATCGAGCCGCCCTGCACGCAGCAGCCGAGCCGACAGAAGTGCATCCAGCAGGGCATCGCCACGATGCCAGACGTGGCTCCCACAGGCGGACCTGGAGGCTTCCAGAAAGCAAAAAGTGTGCGACGACGCTCGGCAGGCTGAGGTTGGAGCAGCTTTTTGACAAGCAGCGGAATTGCCGCACATTCCTTGATCACTGTGCTGCAGCGGAGACACTGAGCACGCAGTCACCAGCAAGCAGCAAGAACATTTGGAAGCAGCTCCGTGCAGACAAAACGGCCCGTGAGTGGTCGGGGGCATCTGCTTGACGGCACGCATCGCTGCAGTAGCCGAAGCATGCCTTGCGAGACAGCTGAGCAGGAGTTGTGGCTGCACTGCAGACTTCAAGTCATGGGATGAGAGGTTGAAACGCTGGGGCAGCTCGGGGCCTGGCTGTCAGTACTACATTACTGTTTGACCGTCGTTTGTACTGCTACGTTGCTCTTGTTCCTTTTCCCCTCATCAAGAGTCTAAATCAGTTTCAAACATGTACGTACATCTGCATCTACATACGTACATTAGTTGACTCACTCACTCAGTCAGCAGTCCGTTCGTCACCCACCCACCCAGCCAGCCATCCATGCATTCTCTCATTCATTCGTTCACGCACGTATACACTGCCACCCCTAGAACACATGACGCGCAGACGGACCATTCTCTTGCAATTGACCTATTTCCTGCGCTTTGTGCTGCACTTCCGGACAAGTCGCACAGCCAGCACAGGGCTGAAGCGGCAGGCGCCGCAGGCACAAGGCACAGCATTGCGCTGCACTTGTCAGAGACACCGAAGCCACCAGAGCCTCCGACTCCAAAGCCACCTGCCCGGGACCAGGGAGCTCCAGGGGTACCTTATTTGGGGGTCCTTATAATAAACACTAAACGGACCGTGAGACCTCGCCGCTCCGAAGGGCCCGGAGGGCCCGGAGCGCACGGCCTTCGCCGGGGCGCTCAACGACTTCCGCAGCGCCGAGGCAACGACCCACGGCCACGGGCATTGCGCTCTCCGTTTTGGGCTTAGGATGTTTTGTCTTGGGCTTGAGGTTTCCGGGTTTAGGGCATGTGGGGGTTTTGGGCTTCAGAGTTTATCCCAAGATCAAATAACTGCATGACCTACTGCGGCATGATGCACCATAGAATGGGACGTGTACCATGCTTCATCACGTGCACAGGTAGTTGTATCGGGACATCATGAAATAGGTCGTCACGTTTGCATGTGCAGCGATGCAGAAGTATGCAACAGTACTCAAGAATCCCTACAAGACATTCGAAATTTTCTCAGGATGCTCCCAAAGCCACCGCGAATCACACCGCGGAGCCTGCTTGCATCACACCGAACAACATATTACCTGCTAGGTTGCCGGAGAAGAGCTGCACTGGCTTCGACAGGGCATCACAGATCCTTTCGCCGCATGAAAACTGCGCTGCACATACTTCATCATGCTTGCTTGGGGTATGCCGGGTCTGCTATGCCGCGTAGCTACTGGTAACGCCTCATGCCCACTCATACGATACAGTCAACCCGTAGTGCGCGAGCTGGGGCAGCGGCCAAGAGGCCACGTCGCCGCCGACTCACGACCTGGAGGTGTCGGAACGGGGCGACGGTTCCTATGATGCTCTCAGGGAATGCGCGGCGAATTTCCTTGATTTTCCGAGTTGTAATTACACACGAGTTAGGCCATTCTCCCGGGGTCTTGAGGTGGCTTTGGACAGCGGCCCTCTTAGGCAGAGCTGAGTCGAGGGCCATTTCGTCAGGGCTTTTGAAGCGACACCTCCTTGAAGTAATTTCGAGGGAGGCACAGGAAGTAAGCCGTGGCACCTCTGGGCTATGTTAGAGAGGCTGCTGTCGATGTGCTGCCTGGAACTGTAGCTGTGGCAGTGCTAAATAGTTCCTTGTGGCATGCTCGAGGTAGGAAACGATCCGTCAAACAGCTGCGAGCGGAGCGGCCCAACCCACTGCATGAGACTCAGGGTCCGCGGTGGGACGGAAGCCCAGACCCAGATCAAAAAGCAAGATTTGAATCGTAAGATGCTGCCGGCCTGCATGTGCCTGAGCGCCCGCTCAGCCAAACCGACTTCAAACAATTCAGCTTGACGGACACTTGTCGAGCAGCCAGATCGACGACGGCTTCGCATGAGCTGAAAAAGGTGCATCCGCAAAGGACTGTTTCTGTTCAAGAGATCATGAGTTGCACTCATGGGAAGCTTGTCGAAGGAAAGGCACACGACGGCTCGGGCAACGGCTTCCGAGCAGTCGCGGCAGTGTTGGAAGTCTCATTCCTTGGTACCCTCACTCTGGCCGAACTGTGGAAGCGTAAGTCCGCCAGACCCGAAAGTGATCTCAAGCTCCTGGTGCACCGAAATGGGCATCACACGCATTCTTGCAGCGATCCAAATCTCGTCCTCATCAACCATGCGCTCAGGTGGATGAAGGCCACGCGGCCTGTAGCAGCATCAGACAACAGGCCGCAGACTGTCCTGTTCCTTTTCAATGCACAACGTAAACCGGCCATGCCATCCAATGTCATCCAAAACACATGGTTTGGTAGGCTCAGAAAGCTCTTTTTTCCTTTGTGCTCAGCGGCTTCTCAGGCCCGGAACAGCTCGGCTCACCTGCCCCGGGGCCAAAAACGCGAATGTTCATGACACAACACAAGAACGGCTGCAAGGGTGCTTCCGTACCTCGCCTGCTGCAGCACGGCCTCCGCATCGCAAAGCGCTGGCCGCCCCTGCACTTCCGGCTCCTGATCCGAAACAGGACATCAAATCGAAAAGAAAAAAAATACATGTCAATATCTTGCCTCCACTGCCGGCCGCCCGGCAGACTCGAAGGCAGCGACCAGGGTTTCGACCGCAGCCCTGGCGACAGTTCGAGCGGTGCGACCCGGCTTAAAGCAGGGTACCTGGCGCCTCTGCTGTGATCGAGGTGACATCGCCGTGCTGTCTTCCAACTGCACCCCCTGCGCTTGCCGCCAGTGCCCCGTTACTGTCCCATGCTCAAATGCAGGGCAAACAAGTGGAACACCGCCTTCCGTCTGGCCAGTAGGCGCCAGTTCAGAATGGAGAGCTGGTTGCCAAGCCACAAGACCCACTCATGGAAGAACAGGGGCTCCTCGTAAGGAGAGGCCAGTCCAGTCTCGAACGAGGACTTTGAACTCGCACAAAGCTGTGCTCCCGCATCTCTTCTGCGCGAGGAAAGCCGGCCCATGCCACAAAGCCACGATGGTAGACATCCGTGACCTTTCTTGACAGATGCCCTACGAGTATGTGGCAGCCACTAGAATCTAGAAACTTGCAAGTTCACGAGGGAGAGTTCATCCCATGTCTTCCGTCTCGAACACATCTGAGCCGAGCGACCTCGGAGCCGCTCAGGGATTTGATGCTGCGCCGAGGCTCCTCGGAAGGAGCCGGAGCCTCGAAGAAAAAACTGCTTATTTTTGTCCTCATCACAACTCAGACTCTGGTGACAAAAAGCAGCTGAAGGCCTGCTCGGCCTGCTCGCCCTGTTGCTGTGGATCGTTGTCAACAGCACCTGAAGCATGCGAATGCAAACGTCAACTTCTAGCCTGCTTCAAAAGAAAAGATGCCCACAAATCAATTGTCTCTTGCGCGAGCCTTCAGACTGCCGATGCCGCAGATTTGCACGGGCCTCTGCAACCTTCGCAACATCCTCCACCCACCTTAGGACCCAGAAACATGCCTCAAGAAAGTCACAAGCTCAATGCGAGATGTGTCGTCAAGCAGCTGCTCTACAACCCGCAGCGACAGCGGCGAGCAGCGGTCCAGGATGCCGCCGCGGCGGATGACCTCCGAGTGCTCCAACAGGGTATAAGGTCAGGCAATCATCAGGTCGGGGAGTCTGAGGCTAGCAAGGCAGGTGTGAATTTCGTGTTCTTCACTTCTTGGGATGGGCAGAGATGTGGGACTTTCCGAAAATTGTCCAGTGCGTGCAGGCTCAGTGGCCGCAGATGGCCATGCGCTGGATTGCGCCGATTGCGCTGGAATGCGCCGATTGCGCTGGAATGCGCCGACTGCGTTGGAATGCGCTGGAAAGCATCGATTGCGCCGTTTGCGCTGAATTGCGCCGTTTGCGCTGCTTGCGCCGAAATGCGCCGATTGCGCTGGAATTGCGCTGGAATTCTGCCTACAGCCTGGCACACAGGCAATACTACCCTGTTTGCGACCTTGGTTTTGCAGCCTGCGATTTCCGGGCAATGCCTGTCGTACCAGGTTTTTGTGGCTCATTGCTGGCAGCAGTTCCCGCATTCCTGCGATTTCTCTTCAACTTTCAGTCAGAGAGATAAAAAATTGCGGTTAAAACATTTCACGTGTTGTTATTGCATCCTATTTAGCCGGATTTTTTGGCGAACGACCACGAATCTCGACTCAATTGACGTGCTCTTGTGCGTGCACCCGGAATTTTGCGCGCACTTCGGAACTATTTTGGGTTTGTTATTGTGTCTTTGTTCTTCTGAAAGTCTTCTGAAAGGTATGACTACCGACCGATAGAATCTGAAAACATCTGGACTGGACACGTCAAGGCCTAACTGCTATCGTAACTATTTCGAAGCCTTGAACCATATATGAAAGGATACCTGCAACCAAGACCACCCACCGAGCCAATTCGACACACCGATTGCCAGGCAAAGTCCTTTCTTACTGAGTTTGAACTGCACGGGTGGGGCCTTGGACGCCCTTGGTTTTTAAATCAGAACTCTTACAGATCTTGAACTCCGAGGGTGGGGCCCTGGACTGATGGAGCGCCCCTGATTTCAAAAATCAGAACAGTTACAGATCTTGAACTCCGAGGGTCGGGCCTTGGGTTGATGGGGCGCCCCTGATTTCTAAATCACAACCCTTACAGATCTTGAACTCCGAGGGTGGGGCCTTGGACTGATGGGGCGGGGCGGCCCTCAGCTTTAAATCAGAACCCTTACAGATCCTTGAGCTCCGAGGGTGGGGCTTTGGACTGATGGGGCACCCCTGATTCTTAAATCAAAACTTTGACAGATGTTGAACTCCGAGGATGAGGCCTTGGACTGATGGAACGCCCATGATTTCAAAAGTCAGAACACTTACAGATCTTGAACTCCGGGGGTGGGGCCTTGGACGCCCCTGGTTTTTAAATCAGAACTCTTGCAGATCTTGAACTCCGAGGGTGGGGCCCTGGACTGATGGAGCGCCCCTGATTCTTAAGTCAGAACCCTGACAGATCTTGAACTCCGAGGGTGGGGGCTTGGGTTGATGGGGCGCCCCTGATTTTTAAATCAAAACCCTGGCACATCCTTGAACTCCGAGGGTTGGGCTTTGGACTGATGGTGTGCCCCTGATATCGGGTTTATCGGGTTTAGCGGGTTTATCGGGTTTAACGAGTTTATCGGGCTTAGCGGGTTTATCGGGTTTAGCGGGTTTATCGGGTTTCGCGGGTTTATCGGGTTTAGGGGGTTTCGCGGGTTTATCGGGTTTAGCGGTGCGCGTCCGCTGTTTGCGTGTGCAATGGAAAATTGGGGGTACCTTATTTTGGGGGTCCTTACAATAAGGATCCCACTACTTAGGGTAGTATATTAGGGTCCCTATGTTCGGAAACTCCCATGTGACTTCCTGTGACTTGGGACCTCGCCTCCAGGAGCTCACCAGCGTCTGCTCCCAGCTCCGCAGCTGCAGTGAGCGCCATCTGCAGGGAGGCTCTGCTCGGGTCCGAGGTGCAAAAGGTAGATGGGAGCTTCCGAAAGGGGGGGACCCTGGATATGGCACCTTGAACAGTAGGATCCTTATTATAAGGACACCTAAAAAAGGTACCCCCTGTTTTTCGGAAACTCCCAGGTGCGCATGGAGCTAACCCGGCTGCAAGTGGCCCGCTCGCAGCTCAGACAAGGGCCTCCTCAGCAGCATCACCTCGGGACCATGGTAGCTGTGCTCAAAGCTGCGAGAAGCGTCTGAGGCGTACCCGGCAAAAGCTCGAGGATGACCACGGAGTCTCGCAGTGCGGCTTTAAAGTCCCTGGCACAGGAGCGGACCAAACCTAGAGCTTCAGCCAACAGCGGTCGAACGGTTGGCATCGGCAGACCCTCCTGTTAACCTTGCGTCGTCGTAAAGCCAAAACCTCGAATTCGAGCACAAGTCTGTCAAAGCCATCAGATTTTCCCCGAACAAGCCCTGCCCTGAAGGACCATAAGCTGAGGAATCCGAAGCTTAAGGCTTAAGCTTCGGAGGCCCGGAGGCCCGGAGGCCTCAGTGCCAGGGCAGCCTGGGCCCTGCAGCGGAGGAGGGCCACGGCGCGCGCCTGGCGGCGCTGGCGGGGAGGCCCCGCAAGTGAACTTCGGGACTTATGTTGGTTCATAATCGCGACCCCTCAAAACCGATATTTAGAGGTTTAGGGTTTAAGGGTTTGGGGGTTTCGCGTATAGGTTCACAGAAAGAATATGGGTCATGCTCGTTGTGGCAATGGCAACGACAAGGTGCAGTGCTACACATCGACAAGTGCACAATCTGAGCCCGACATGGCTACGAGAATAAACAGCTCATCAGCGTAATACCGTAATATGTTTAGTAATAATATTCAGTATATTAGCTTTTGCAAAATCAATGATAACGACAAGCCTTATACTAATACTAACACCAAGACTAAAGCTGACACCAAGACAACGACTCAGACTTATACTAACTATGATTCTGGTATTCATAGCACCACATGTATAGCGCTAGTGATAATGATCTTACAATAACCCACGCAAGGATAGCAGTTCATAGCAGTAACAATAAAATGAGCAATAGTAATAGTTCTACTACGAGTGTTTTATAACCATGATAGTAAAATCATAAGGGCGTATTGTGTTGTGTTGGTGGGACGGTGTTGATTGCGGAGTTCTCGGAGATTCCTCAAAGTCTTAGGATCCTTTGAACCACATGCCGAATAGCAGCCTTCATGGTATAGTATAGTCTGGTAGAGTATAGTACTGTACCAAGTATAGTATAGTACAGTATAGTATAGTATACTTTACCATCGTACCTTGTATTAACAATATCGCTAGGGAGCATAGGAAGCAGGGAGCGGAGCTGTGGAGGTCGCGAGAAGGAAGGAACTCGGGCGTTGCAACTCGGACCTGCTGTTTGGAGCGATGGAACTCACCAGATGCAGACGGATCGTCGCAAGTCCAAGCAAATTCTCCAAGATCGTTAATGGGGTTCTAGCTCGACATGTCATGCTCCTGCCTCTACCCTGGGCCCTGAGTGATGCTGCAGGACTTCCCAAAATGGAGGACATGTTTACCCACCACGGGTCCCTCAGACTTCGGCATGTCTGAACCTGCAATCCTTCAGCCCTGAAGGCTTGTCTCCTGCATCCGGTGACCCGAACATCGACACGTCGAAAACCCAAACCCCACAACCCCTAACCCCTGAATTCCCAAATCCTACTCACCCCCAAAACCTGCAACACTTCTTCCCGCACCCGGCCTCGAATCTTTCGCCGAAGCGCTGGCCGGAGAGGCAGAGCCCTTCCAGTGCCGAAGTGGAGGCCGCGCCTTAGCCCCCGGGCTCTTCCTTTTCTGTACAAGGGCTCCTTTCCTCTTTTCCTCCCTGTTAGAGTCAGAATACCAGGTGGGGGAGCCAGGCAGCTAGGTCTTCCAGGGTTCAGGGGTTTCCTGCTTGAGTTTGTGGCTTCGGGTGTGGGGTTGGAGAAAGTGCCTCCCAAAAGACGCTTCGTGACGTCGTTGATACGTGAGGATGGTCTATGTCAGTACAAAGGCAACGGCTTTTGGTTTCCGGGGTTTCGGGCGTGGCAGCAGAGCCGGCCGACCATGTCGACATCAGTTTGCCTGCGAAAGCGGATTCCGGCAGTGGCAGGCGGAGCTCGCAAGCAAGAGCGGTCTGCGGCACTCCCACCCCATGCCCCAGAGAATATCCAGATATGATAATCCGAGCACAATGATGTGACGCACTTCTCGCACTGGAGTCCGGGGGCCAAGCGTGCAGATTGCCAGTCCTGGAGATGCAGGCAGTGCCCAAACAATATGCTAGCAATAGAAGCCAGTCAGCTAAAAAAAAGAAAGCCTGGAACAAGCCTCCAAATGTCTTGTAACAAGCTAAGGCTTCCCGACAGTCTACGAACAAAGCTGAGGACAGCTTTTTGACTTTAGAACTCATCGCTAGCGAGTCCATCCAACGGAGTGAGAGCAGAACCCAGACCAGCCGGGCTCCTCTGCAACCAACGCCTCCTTCACCGATTCCTGCTGGGCTTGGGGTTTGGAGCTCCTTTCGGGACAGCATAGATGCAGGCACCAGCCTCCACAGCATCCACGAAGGCGTTCACCGCCTCTGTGAGCACCTGCACAGGTTCTACCTCTGTCACGCTTGCCGGAGCTTGCCTGCAATACGAAAACAACAAATGAACATCGTCCTACTTGCTTACTAGCTCAGTGATGAGTGTCATCAACCGATGCCTTTTCAAGCAGAAGTCTTGCACATCAACGTACAGACAGGAATGTGAGAGGAAGATTGCAATGGTTTCAACTATGAGACTCTCCTCAAGCCTCTTGAATGCCCTTGACGATCCGACATCAAAACTGTCCAGAACTCGGTGGCCCTGAAACCTCTATGACTGTAGCTCGACAATCACCTTTGGACACTGTGCCGACAGCTTTTGCTCGCTCGTCAGTGGTAGTGAAAAGCATGCAGTGGCTCAGGAGATGAGAGGATGCAGTGCGGGGTTTCGGACGTTTGACAGCTGATTACCAACTCCTGGAAAAAAACGACGACTTGTGTCGCTCGCGGATCAAAGGGTAGCAAAATCGAATCGAAGTCCCAAAATGACCCTGAGACATCAGGCACAACTCCGCAAGAGCCTGAAACGCTTCGATTCGCGGGGCAGGCTGCGGTGCCTGCCAGCCCATGCCACGACAGATGAAGCAGCAACACTTCACCCCTTCGTTCAGAAGAGCTTGCGAATGACTTGAGAGCTGTAACATCCCCGATGCCTGATAGCAGCGCCAGGTCGATACTGGAACAGTCAAAGACTCCTTCAATCGAAATGTTGCTGGTATTACCACAACAAGAGAACCGGACCAGAGCTGCAAGCTCCGTGGGAAGACCGTAGAGGGCTTCCCCTTCTGGCGACAGCAGCAGCCAGCCATGTCGAGCCTTGTCACCACGAACACACTGACTGCCCGGCGCTGTTGTGGAGTTCATTTTGGAAAAGGCGCTCTCCCCTTGTTCAGCTGCTCGTCTCGCAGAATGCGGAAGCCTCCAAAGAAGACACAAAAGTGTTGATGACAGAGAAGACGAAGCTTTTGCAGAGTTGCAATACCCGGCAACTGGCCTGGCTGAGAGATGTTCTGGAACACAGGGGCGCCAAACTTCTCTTTGGAAGTTACCTGCAAAGCTCAACTTGATGCTGATGCCGCAACTTTCTGCATGTAGCACTATGCGCCTGGTACACGCCGTTGGCTGCCTGCGCAGCTGCTGCAAGGGTCGTGAGGCGCGCGTTCCGGCTTCTCAGCTTCAAGAACATCTGTGCAGCAGGAACCTCCAGCCCTGCGGCAGCCAGGCGCAAAGCGGCGATGCCTGGATTCCAACAACAAACACCGGAGCCTTGTGCCTTGCAATTTGCAATCCACGCATGTACGTTTAAGTCACTGTACCAATATGCCTGAACAGGTGCACATCTGGAGCCGTGTTTTGTGCAGCACGAACATGCAGCCCTCGCAACAGCAGAAATTCACTCGCTTCGCATGCAGCTCCCCGAAGCCAGCCCCGACGGAACGGCGCCCCAAACAGCAAACATTCAGCGCAGCATGCGCTCACATGACAAGAACTGCGCCAGTCCGCACCTGCCCTGGGCGCGTCCGCGTCGAAGCCCCTGGGCAGCCGCGCAGGCCCATAGCCTCCGAGTCTCCAACGGGCCGTTCCGCCGACACTGGGGAAGCCTTGGCGACCTTGGGGCCTCAACTCATAAGATCTCAGGGGGCCTGTTGTCGAGGCCAGGTGAAGATGAAGTGAGAGCCTTCTTGTCTAAGACATCGGAGGCCCTGTCGTATGGCCAATTTTGGTTTCATGCCAATCGCGGTTTACTACGAGTGAGATCCTCGGGGGAGGGACCCATGCCAAGTTGAGCCCAAGCCAAACGAGACACGTCAAACATTCCGGACCCAAACCCTGGACATGCCGGGAGGAAGCTGACGGGTACAGCAGGTCACACTCGGTGCTGGGGAGCATCCGCCTTGTCTCGCTCTTTGTCGGGCGTCTGCATAGACCCGGATGGGCGCTTGGAGCATGCCCGCCGCATGCAATCACGGTTGAATATTTAGGCTTTTAGGGCTGGGGTTTGTGGGCAGTCGCACTTCAGGATTGGCTTCCTGCTTCCTCAAAACTCAGGACTCAAGGTCGGGAATGGCTTGCCAAAGCGTCCTGTCTGCGAATCGCTTCGTTAACATGGACGTCAGTCCTGGTGAGTCTCTATCCTCTCCAGATTTTTGCAGGTTTGAACACCGGCGGGCTCCGTGCTTCAAAGCAGCAGACTTTGTAGAGCACGATGAGCCGAAGCGAGTCGTGCCTGTTGGCAGTTTCCGAAGCCTCCCCTGGCCAGAGTCAACAAAGAATGAGGTTCCTGAACACTGCTGTGGGCAAGAATGAACTGCTGCCTCCCGCTCCCTCTCCTTCTTTGCCGCTGTTCTCTGGGCCTTTTTCTGGCCGCTGCCTGGAAGCTAAAGCACTTAGCCAACGCACCAGGACTCCGTGCAAGCTGGGACATGCTAGGCCCTAGGCATGTCCCAGCATCTATGCTCAATTCGGCTGAGGCGTGAGCGCCGGCATCTCCGCTCTCTGCTTCGAGTTATTCCTCGAGGGTGCCTGTGGCAGATGCTCAGAAAGGTGACAGCGTAACAAGCTCCAAGCGGAAGATTTGAAAGCTGCATTGCAATACTGTAGTGAGTGCTTAGGGGCTTAAGGCTTAGGGGCTTAGACTGCCATCTTGCCTCACTGGCACAGAGAGATGGGCGGCGGCTTCGAGGAGTGATCTGCGCAGGATACCATGGGAAGGCTCGCACCGGTCCGAGCATCGGATTGGGCTTCGGCTGAAGTAGATCGTGCAGAGATGCAGGTGGCGAAGGACCTCTCGCTGGAGCACATCTGCAGACTGAGTAAGCGCCGTTCACCGCCAGTGCCAGCGCCAAGCGCCCTCGCAAAGCCGACCTGGCTGAGCTTGGAGAGGGAGGCGTGGCACCTTCAGCCATCGGCCTGAGCCCACGGAAGCTGAGCGGTTTCGACAGAAATCACGGCCCAGCCTGGCCAGATGCAGCGGCAGTGCCGGAGGTGAGGTGTCCCTCGGCTGCACGGCCGCGGTGTCCACGAATCCTTCTCCGAACTCAGTACGTTGCCTGCTTGCGCCCCTGCCCCTCGCGATGCCGTTGGCAGCCTGCGCTGCAGCTCTTTTTGCTAGACCAGAAAGCGGGACTTGCTCCCTCGCCTTGTTGGGAGGGCTCTCGTGCAGCAGGCAGCGGTGGAGCACCTGGGCGCCACGGCGCTGCCACCCGCGGATCCCTAGCAGGCTGCCCAGGCAGTGCCTGCTGGCGAACGGAGAGCTCCGTCTGCCACTCTTCCACGGGGTTGTGCCAGGTGCCTCCGACACGCAGAACTCAACGAGAACGGAAGGCACCATACGGACCCGACATACCCGACCCATCGACTCCGAGGCCGAAGCTGACACCCTGCTCCGCGTGGTAGAAGTACTCGCCGTCTTCGGCTGCATAGGGCCTCGGACCATTGCAAGAAGAGTCTTTTCCTGGAGGGACCTAACTCGATCGCAGAGGAGCGGCCCACTCCATCCCTCCAGGGCCGCTGAAGCTCGGTCGTGGCAACTTTGGAGGTGCGTCTGAACCTGCACTGCAAGGCGCAAGCCAGTTCATGGCTTTCACACTACTTTAATACGATCCTCTCAAACGACTCCTGGTATCTGCTGCTAGCAGTAAGGCTCTGGCGGCTTCCACCACCGAGGCTTCGGGTGGATCCAGCCTCCTGGGAAGTTCACAAAAACAACCTCGCTTGGCCCTTGCTTCTTCCCTTGACCGAACTGCGAGTTTAGAAGCACTGCCTCCAACCTACCAGTAGAAACTTGCACCCTGCCTGACTGACTTGATGAGCTGGAGCAGGTCCCGGAAGACCTCGTCCTGTTCTTGCTTCTGGTGGCTTTGCAAGGCTTCCGGGAGTCTGAAGGAGTTGTGGCGTCGTTTCCAATAAGGTCGGGTCCATGGGATGATTCCAGCTGCTCTGCTGTGTCACCTGGCGCCCGACGGCAGCTCAACGTGCATGAAACGACTCTACGTGCGACACTTGCGCCGCACAGAGCACCTGGTTGAAGAAGTAGATGCGTCGCTCCTGGTCCAGGTGTTCGGACCAACTTGCTGGTAGCGGAGCTTCAAAGGCCTGAGACATGGAGAGCACGGAGAGCACTTAGGCTTAGACGCACTCAGTGAGATCTCTGCTGCTCGCCTCCCGAGCAACCCAGACCAGGTCAACATCCTTCTCAAGCTCCACGCCGAGGCTCTTTGCGTACCTTTGGGCTTCGTCAAGAACGACCACTTTGAAAACGGGAGCAAAGCTCCTCGAGGCCGTGGCTCCTTGAAGTCCGCCTCAGAGGCCTCTGAAGTCTGAGCTGCGATGTCGACACCTCCGCAAGACCATCACCAGCTCAACTCCTTACGACTCGGTATCATAGAAAGCAAGAGAAAGACAAGGACGACAAAACTGCGTTGTGTATGCATGCATGCGGAATACCCGCATACACCTCTACATCTACGGATATATGTGCATGTACGTATGTGTGGTAGATGTACATGAACATGTACGTGTTCATCCTATGCATACACATATCATACCTATGCATGTAGACACACATACGCATGTACATAATCATATACATATACATATACATGTACTTATACGTATGTTTATACTTATACTTATACTTAAACTTATGCCTATACTTACTATACATACAGGTATACGCACACGTACATGTATACATAGACGTATACATATACATACACAGATACGGGTACATATACATGTATATAAGATATACATAAAACCAACATGAAAATCAGCATATACACACATACATACGTGCATACATACATACATACGTACATACATGCAAACATACATACAGACGTATACTCGCATATAGACAGACAGATAGATGAATGGATAGATGGATAGATGCTACCCACCCGCCCAAAAGTACCTACAGGTTCGATGTGTGTATAGACGTATATATACACATATATATATATATATATATATGCATACATACATACATACTCCATACATACTCAGACGTGTATATATATACACACACATACACATCAACACAAGTATACACAGGTACGCACATACAAGTTCCCGTCAGTCCATGATGCCAAGGCGCAGAGAGAAACATACAAACACATGTATAGTGTATATGTAACCACCAACGTATGAAACTCAGGGTGCATACAATGCATACACAGACATACATACAGGTTGCCGGCCCATAAAAGACCAAATTGCATGGGAAGGAAGGGAGAGGAAGCGAGAGAGAGTGAGAGAGCTCGGCATGTTGCCATCGCAGGCAGCCTTCGGACTCACTGCTGAAGCCGAGATCCCCCAGTCCGCCTTCAGTCCTCGGTGAGACGTGAACTCTGAAGGGCCGGAGCCATGTTCCCATGTCCGATCACTGGGGTTCGCACATGCGCAGCAAGCATGGCCGTGTGCCTGTCGAGGCGTGCTCTGACTTCTGACTTATCACCGGGCCTTCGGCCTGGAAGCAGAAAGGAAAGACGCCATGCACGTGGCCGGAAAACAATTGGTCATCATTGAACGGTCTCCACAAGGACTGGAGTGGTCTTGTTTCACTGCTAGAGTCACTGTAGTCAAACATCTCACACTGCGTGGGCTTCCATTCTACGACACGTTTGTGAATGCAGCTTGGCAATGGTTTCACTCAGAGTCTTTCTTGCGCTTAGTCGCTAGGTTTGGCTTGAAACAAGCTCGCTGCTGAACGAAGATTAGCAAGTGACATGCAGACATGTATGCACGCGGAACAGGCATCAGATACGAAAGCATGCTTCTTGGAGCCATCTCGCAGACATCTGTCTGAGGTCTCTGCGCGCTCAGCTTCCTGAATGCGCGCGATCAAGCAAAGCTGCCAACGCCTTCTGTTAGAAGAGTGCCCCAGAGGGATAGCTAATTATCTGGCTGAATGATTGTTGTCGCCACACAGTACCTACAACATAAAGCGTGGCGCGAGAACCTGCATTGTTGTGCAGGACTAGCTTGTGCGACTACAACGCGCGGCTCCAGCCACCGACAGCAGGAGGTGCTCCACAGCATGCAGCACTTCCGTCACCCAGGAGGGCACGGATCTGCAAGGTGTGGACCTGGTCTGGATCGGCGCACCGGACCGCGGCTTCAGACCTACCTTTGGACAACTGCAGGCCAAGTTAGACGATTTGCCCGGCATGCAGAGAAGAGCTACAAGCTGGCTTGCAAGCTCGTCACAACGGCCGGGTCTCTCCCAATTATTGTCTCAAAGTCTCCAGGAACCAAGATTCAAGGTGCCGTGTTGATTACCTCCTCTATTCTCAACAAACAAAACATTCTGCTCTCGCTTCCCGGTTTCGGGCGACTCTGAGAACTCCTCTTGCACCTTTGGAAAGCCCGGCACGCTCGAGGCGACGAATCAGCTGCAGTTTCATGGTAGGCTTTGCCGGAAAAGGTTGCTTGGTACTAATGCGGCATCAAGCATGCCACCCTGCGCCAGCATTGCCGAAGGCTTCTCCAAATCCTATCGACACACCTTTACAAGCTTATGATTATGAAGAAATTCTCACCCCAGGGCGCGGCCACGCCGCTGCTTCATCTGGGGCTCTTGGTCGGAAGGGTACCTGAGAATTCGGCTCTTGTTGGCGGAATTAAGTGTGTGTGCGTGTGTGTGTGTGTGTGTGTGTATGTATATATATATATATATATATATATATATACATAGATGACATATATATATATATATATATATATATATACATAATATAGATGTTTCTTATGTAAAATATGCGGGAGGAGAGACGGAGAGAGGCAGAGAGATGATAGCCATGAGAGAGCTGAGAGAGTTGAGACAGCTGATAGCAGCGACAGAGCACGGGATTCGGGTCGCTGATTGCTGATTTCTTGGCGCCGGGCAGGTCGAACTTCAGGTTAAGTTAAGGCGAAGCGTCACAGCACAACGACACATCCCACCAATCGGAACCTTTTCACTGCTTTCTAACAAAAGAAACAGTGCTGGTTTTGTCAGAGGTGCGACGGAACCTTGTGTGGAAGCTCTGAGCAAGGACCTCGCAGGGCAAAGGGACCACAGTCGCACTGCGCCAACAGAGCTTGCCGAAGGCAAGTTGGCAGAGAAACTATACATCCCCCACCTGCCTGAATTTGGCGAAAGTGAGACCGTCGGCTCTTCCTGGCCTGCAGCTGTCTTTCGCCCTGTACTGGTCTGCTCCTGAGTGCATTTGGAAGGACACAACAACGGGCGCCTGCGTCATCCTGCAGCCAAGCATCCAGCTTCAAAGCCACGGGCTTCGTGTGCAGCTTCTCTTCTGTGGAGAAAAGCTTGCCAGCTTCCTTGCTCCTGTGCATAAGGCTGATCAGGACGATGCCAGACATCGCGTAGTGGACCGACAAGCCGCAGAGGACGCACTTCCAGCCCCAGAGGGCCGCGTTTCTGCTGAACATGGGACCTGCAAGGATGCCGGCAAACTTGCTGAACACATTTCCTATCGCGAAGAGCTCGCTGGCCCTGGTGTGGGCGACGTCGTGAAACAACGCCGTGAGCCCGGAAGTTTGGAAGCCATGGGTGCCCATCCAGAGAGTCAGCAAGATGGAGACGCTGAAACGGCTCTCCGAGCTGCAGATGCTCACCAGGCACAGAGCAGGCAGGGCAGTGCCCAAGAGCCTGGCAGCTGTGTGAAATCATCTTGCACACGTGTGGATGGCAATGGAACAAGGCTAAAGAGGCTGGAAAGTCGGGGAACCGGAAGCACGGCGCAGCTTACGAGGGAGTGTTTCAAAGACGCAATTAAGGCTGTGCGCTGTGCGGGGGGGGAGCGGTTGCGGATGCTTCCTCTGTGCCGAAGAACCACACACAGAGTACACGGAAGCTTCGAGCACTGAGATGCTGAGATGCGGACTGCATCAGCATCCGGCAGCGGTGTGTGGGCCAGGACGAGGCCAGCCGATCCGCCAAAAGGCCACTGAGAACGCAGCACACCGAGTTGCAGAGCGGCGCTGCAGCGGTAAGCCAGGCAAGATCGGACACCTGCGCCCCGTAGGCTTCCACGAAGAGGCTGGGCACAAAGCTGTAGAGGAAGGCATTGGCGACACCGGAAGCGTACATGGCGAAATAAATCGCGAGGATTAGGGGCTCCTTTGACCAGACAAGCAGCTCCTCCCAGTCCGCGGTTTCAGCCACGAGCTCCTTTCTTGTGCTGTGCATCCCGGGAATCTCTCTCTCTCAATCAAACTCTGAACGACTGCCATCGACTGCCTTCGCTTTGGGCCGAGAGCTCGGAAGCATGCGGATGGCAATAGCAGTGCCGCCGCCAAGGACTGCAAACAGCAGGAACCTCTGCCGGCCCCGCAAAGTCAAACTGCAAGAGGTTCAAGTTCAAGGCAAAACAAACGCACCCAGTGCTCCCGTCTTGGAAAGCCAGGTGACGGAGTTGGCCACCCACAGAAATCGACAAGCTGAGGAGTGATAAAGTTGCCTCTGGAAAGCAGCTTCAGCCGGAGCTAACCCTCCGGCTGAAAGCTCGGGCACAAAAACAGCAAAGTAAAGGTTACAAAAGAACGTGTGTCCCTTGCAGAAACAGAACAACCCTACATCCTGCAGCATCCCTCCCCAATGCAGCCGCAGATGCTGATCATCGCTCCCATGGCTGATGCACTAACGATCCTCGGCAGATTCGTCAGCACAGAGGTGGTCTTTGATCCGGGCCATTTGAATTCCAAGGCGCAAGCTCACGGCCAGGCCCTTCTCTGCGGCTGGCACGGCCTCCGCCAGGAGCGCGTGCGCGGCCGGATAGCCGAGACCGCAGCCTCCGCTCTTAGCGAAAGCGGGAAAGCGGCGCACCCGGGACCCCCGACGACAGCGGTGTTCTCCGGGGTAAGCCCCTGTCTGAGCTCGCGACAGAATCCGAAGGGCAACTTCAGCAGCAGAAGCCCAAGCATCGGCCCCTGCACAGCTAGCGGAACCTGGAGTCCGCAGAGATTGAAGGGGCTCAAGCTCTAGTCTCCTAGTCTCCAAGGTTCACACTGACACAGTGACACGGCATGACTGCAGTCGTGTTGCCAGCAGCAGCACTGCAGCCCAGGCAGCTGTGCCCAAGCTCAGTAGCTGTTGCCCGCTGTAGCGCTGCACGAGCGGCTTGGCAGCCAGCTGCGCCACCAGGTCCCCTGCAAAGAATGCACTGGCAGAAGCCCCCACAAGCTCCGAGGCGGAGCAGTGCGAGTCGCTGCAAATCACGTGGGACACCACCGGCAGCACAGAGCGAGAGCCATAGTTGGCCGCAAGGGCACAGATGGCCAGTATGGTCGGCAGCGAGGGCTTCCCCATAGTGGGATTGCTATAGGTCGAAGCGCCGCAGCTTCATTTAGAGACCGACTGCTTTGAGCCTGCACTGCACGTGTACTAAGTGGAAGAAGAAACCCCAGCCAACCTGGCAGGAGCAATGAACTCTTGGACAGTCCAAAACCGTTTCACCTTTTCCACTGAAACGATTGGCATTTTGCCAAACATCGCGTGAACCCGAACTCTGTCTCCTAGCCGGCACCGGCAGAGACCACTGTGCGTGGTGACGAGAAGGTCGTACTCTTGGCCAACAACAGCTTCCCATGCTGGGATAACCATGTCAGGGTGCACATCATGAGAGCCCGCAGGCACGAGTTCGAAGAACATGCTGCCGGGGTCCTTGGTCGCGATGCACAGCCGGGATGCTCACCACTTTGCGAAACAAATCTGCCAACAGTTGCTGGACCACGCAAGGCTCCAACAGGTAGGTCCAGACGCCAAAGGGCAACTCTGGGAACAAGTTGATTCCGATGCAGCCCTCGTCGCTGGTGTAAAGCCTTATACGCAACATAAGTTCGAGTGCAGAGTTTAACTACACAACATGAGACTCAGAAGGGGAAGCGGACATTGCTCAAGCCAGTGGTTTCCCTTCGGATACATTGCATCTAGCGACGGGCCGTAGATGGGCACCTCGCCAACCACTTCCTTCAATGATTCATCGAGGGAAGTTTCTCCTGTGATGACGACCACCTGCCAAGATGTGCCGAAATGGCAAGGAATCCATATTTTGCCCGCCCTTCGCAAATCCTTCGATAGCCCCAATGCTTGAGTAAACTTAGTTCGGCTGCATGGTCCGAAGCAAAAACCGCATGTGTCGTGGCAGTGATAGTATCGAGAGAGCGCATGGCGAACCCCCGGCAACCCTCTTGTGTATCTCGCTCACCTTCAGCCGCGGCCACAAATGGGATGCGACCGCACTGGTCTTCAGCATCCTGTCCTCGGACGTAGCATCGAAGCATTCCGTTCAGATGCAAGAATCAAGGACCCCTGAATGCACTTCTTGCCTCACCTGAAGCCTCGCTTCCGCTCTTTCCGGTCCAAGCATCCACCTCTCGGGACCGACGTCCATCTGGACCAGAGAGCCTCGATCATCCCCTCGAAGAACCAAAACCGTGAACCAGAAGCCCGCTCTTCAGGGCTTAGGGTTTAGGGTTCCGCCCCAACCCCCCAGGCAACAAACAAAAACGCTCCTGATGACTCCGACCGCGCGTCGCCGCATCCAGCGCCGCGCGGAGTTGCGGCTCCGGCGCTGCCTCGGGCAGCTGCCGATCCCAGAGATGGCCTCAAACCCAAAGCCGTTTGGGTAGTTATCAAAATTAAAATTAAGGTCCCTTTTGGGTACCCTAAACAATAGGTGCCGTATTATAATAGGGACCCAAAGGACCCTAATTTTGACAACTACCCGCTTAAACCCCAAACCCTAAAGGTCGAAGCTTGGCGAAAGGCTGTGAAGGCTTGGAGGTGGAAATATCACGATAAATGTTCCAAAGGCGTATTGAGATTTGGGCTCAGGGTTTAAAGGTTTGGGCTGAATGACTTACGGTCGGCTCTGCTTTGGAGTTCCCGTTTTCGTGGCGAAGGCTTCGAGCCTCACCGCACGCCGCATGGGAATGAAGCGGAGCTAGAACGGATGAAACTCCCCGAGCTTCTTCGGGTTCAATTGGTTTGAGTCGCTTGGGAAGTCTGAGCCCTAGGTGAGAAAGCTTTACCTGCTGGATGCTGCCACGCGGCCGTTGCGCATGTCCTGTACCAGGTGGCGGCGATTCTCCTTGGCGGCCTGCAGCAGCCTTCGCACGTCCGATGCCGAAGCGGACTGGATGATGCCGAGCGCAGGGTCTTTCAGAGCGAAGAGCGCATGGACGTAGAGCCTGTCTGCATCGCTGAGATCGTAGGCCTCAAGCGGGCTGGCCAGGACGAAGGAGAGCCTCTGACTTGCCATCTCGGAGAGGCCCAACAGCAGCACCTCCCGCACCGAGCTCAGAACAGCCGCGCGCTGCAGCTCATCAAGTGACTCCGGGAAAAACTGTGCAAGGACAGCAAAGGACGTCAGCACGGCCCGATACAGGAAAATTCGCCTCGTCTCTTCGTGGCCACTTCTGGTTTGAGCCAGCTTCCCCTCATGGTGGAAGCGTCCACCCTGGTTGTAGTCACCCCGGCAAGTAATGGGGTGGCTCTCTCGAAATATGCTGTAGGTCGCAACTCCTCCACAATCATGCTGACTCAAAAGCTCCAGATTTAAATCTCCAAACTATTCAAAGTCTGCTCCTTGCAAGTGCCGCCTCTCTTCGACGGTGGCCGTGTTTGTGTCTTGGCCCTGGCGTCGTTGGAGGATCTCCGTCAGGAGCCGCCGCTGCACCTTTACGCACAACGACAGCTCGAGACCCTCCACGGCTCGGAGCATCACTACCAATGTGTCGGCGGCAAATCAAAAAACATGATAGGTGTGTTTGCTAGCATATTGATGCTGCTGGTAGCTTCTTCCTGTTGTGAGACATCTTCTTCATAATTGTCGTGGTCGTCGTCGTCGTCGTGTTCGTCGTGGCAGCGGCATCGTCGTCATCGGTAGTAGCTGTTGTTGTGGCTGCTGGAGTAGGAGGAGGAGGAGGAGGAGGAGGAGAAGTGGGAGTAGGACTACGAGTGAGTGTAAGGCTAGGAGCAGGAGTAGTACTAGCACCACTAGTAGCCACAATGTTGCCAGGACCTTGTGGTGGGGGGGAGGGGGGCTCGAGCGGCTCTAAATCACTCATTTGCATAGTGGCAGGGCGGGAGCCCCGCCTCCCTCCTTCAACTCTTGCGAACGGACCAGATGAGGTCCTGCTCGCAATTTTGACCTCGCTCGCTACTCCCGTAAACGACAGCTCCCGCAAGCTCCACAGAGCTAGCTTTCGGGATCATCACCATCTCCCTCATCACGCTTATTTTCAACCCATCACCAACATCATCGCGACCATCGTGACCATCATCATCATAACCACCATCGTCATCATTATCATCAGCAGCAGCATTGCATTCTTGTAGCTTTGGGGCGGGCCGGCGGCACCCTACAATCAAGTTGATGGACCCCTACCACACCTTACGTCACGAATCACAAGGCTCTTGGCACCGAAACGTGAGAAGGTGCTCACGATCTACGAGGACATGCCGCCCAAAATAGATTCCGGCCTCCTCACCTCTCTCTGCCTCGTGGCAGAGGCGCAGGAGCTGCCTCCTTCCATAGGCTGCCAGAAACCAAGAGCTGAAGTACCTCGGCAGCCGAAGCTTGCTTCCAGCTCTATCACGGCGACAAGGCTGCACACCAAACAAGTTTGGGACAGCTTGCAGTTGCCGCGTTAGTGAACGAGTCGCCCTCGTTTAGCTGAGAAGCTGTGTGAGTGCAGAGGGCCACGTATGGCGCACGGACCACTCTCGAGTGCCGATGTCATACAGCCAGAAAGCGGCCGCCGCCGCGCCACCAGCATGGCACAGGCGCGAGAATTGAACGGGCATCCTGTTTCAGGAATGCTCCCATCTGTTTCATCTATGGACGCTCCATCTGCAGCTGTGCATAGGGCCGAAGCTGTCGCTACCAATGGCGCTATGTGGCATTTCCGAAAATGCAGAGGTGTCTGAAGCCATGCCAAGCACGTGCATTGTGAATCGAACCTGCTTTGGCGAGTCCAGCTTATTGCTTCTGCATCTGAAGTCACTGGAGGTAAACACGCCTACGAACACAGCTCCTTTTCACTACTCCTCGCAGCTTCACTGTCCGCTCTCATCGAGCAATGCGCTTGCCTGTTCAGAGAGAAGGACGTCAAAGAGTTGCACCATTCTTGGGAGCTGCTCTCGTCCCAGAAGAAGGCCCCAGTGATGCGATCGAGTTTTCGAGCGTGTGGCAGTATCGGGGGGTGGACTTCCTCTCTGAGGATTCAACTGCCTGGAGAACCAAAGCACAGCCCCGAGGACCCGGCGATGGACTTCTGATGAGTCTGTGCTGTGCTGACCTGTGGCCAAATGCCCTCATCGACATCCCCGTCGGAAGATCTCCAGAAGGCCCGGGCTCGTCGATGTCGCATCTGCTGCATGACCTTCAGCACCGAGGCGCTCATGTCGGCCTGCCAGAAGAGACGAAGAGCCGAAGATGAGCCCGTGAGCCGAGCCGCAACCCGGGACTTGTGGCAATGAGACTCGACTCATATTCTAGCCAGAATACAGCAGTAGCAACAGCGGCAAGAACCGCCAAACATGGCAAGAACACCAGCTAGCAGCGGAAGAACCACACTCGCAACATGTCAATCCGACATGAAAGCCATGGTTTCTGGCAGCGCCTTTGTGGCCGCCTCGAGAACCTGCAGATTCTGGAGGCTACAACTTTTCAGGGATGATAGTCAGTTCAAAACTGCGAGGCGCCACCCAGATGTTCAGCAAATCTCTAGTTCTCTGGAGAAGAGCAAGAATAGCGAGAAGTTCAGGTTGAGGTCCAGGGCCTGGTTTACGCCTGTGGCCCAGTCAGTGCTGGAAGGGAGAACTTCCCAGATGTATGTCGCTCATCTCGGCACACGACACGGGTGTGCAGCACATCTGGGCTCGCCGCGTTGTTGTACAAGGTTGCCTTCAGGTTCGCATCCAGACCTGACTGAACGAAACACCACCACCACCACCAAGACGATCATCATCCCTAAACATACCACCACCACAAGCACCACCACCACCACCACCACCACCAGCACCACCACCACCACCACCACCAGCACCACCACCACCACGACTGCTACTGCTACTGCTGCTAAGCCTGCTGCTGCTGCCGCTGCACCTGCTACTGCTACGACTACGACTACAACTACTACTTCTACCACCACCACCACCACCAACACCACCACCACCACCACGACTACTACTACTGCTACTACTACTACTACTACTACTACTACTACTACTACTACTACCACCATCACCTGCTACTACCTACGACGACCTACGACTACCTGCGACTACTACTGCTGCGACTTCCATGACACTGAGTCCGCGGTTTTTGTTGTGGCGATCCACAGACTCCACATTTCAGGGTCGAGTAGGAGCCTGGCAGTCATCAGCCTCATCGAGCAAGGATATGGCCCGGCCCACAGTCTCCTTCAAGGCTTCCGACCAGAGAGCTTCGGCTGTAATGCACAATGGCATATACCCGAATTACCTACATCATGAGTACATACATACATACATACACATACATGCATAAATGCATGTATACATAATGTGTGTTGGATGTTTGTGAGTTATGCATACGTAGTAAAAATAAGACTCAGAATCAGAACCAGGATCAAAGTGCAAGAATAACAGCAAGGATGAGAATAAGAACAATGACATAAATTCTAGTAGGAGTACAGAGAAGAACAAGAGCAAAAACTGTAGTAACAGCAATGAGAATACACCACAGACATAATCACCTTGACCTCAATGATTCGCAAGAGTGCCAGCAGCAACAACAACACGAACAATAGTACTGCTGATAATTAACAGTTGCAATAAGGCAAACCCTAGGAAACGTCTCAATCAGACAGCGGATCGCCCAGCCGGCCTCTTTGGTGCTCACCCCGGCTTTGCAAAAGGCCTTGACCTCAGGTATCAGAAGTCGTCGTATAAACCCAACAGTCAGCACCCTAACTTGAAAGCACAAAAGGAATCCTCCTGTCCGCGAATCTTACTAACCAAGACTTTCTCGCCGGAAGGCCAGGATGGAGCATGTGAACTTGTCCGGCTTGTAGCCATGTTGTCGCATCTCCTTCACGTGAACATGAAGCTACGCCCTTCTGCCCTCAAGCGATGGGTTGACGCGGAAAGCTGGGTAAAATCTTTCCGAAGCTTTCCTGAACTGCCTCGTCGGAAATCCGCCTCTACAAATTCGGGACCCTCATCCAGGTCCTTGTCCGACTGATAGTGATACGGTAGCCGGAAGCGAAAACCAGAGCAAAATCTCAAGCCCCAAACAAAGCACCGGCCTGCTGTCGGCTCCAGGCTTCTTCGGGCCGTCCCGCGCGCACCGCGGCATCCATGATCTGGGCATCACTTGAACGGGGGCAGATTGACGCCTTCTGAGCTTTGAGCTTGGAAGTTGCACGGAAAGCGACCACAACCCAAAAAGATACCGCATTTGGGCAGCCGACCGTGTTGAAGCTGATCGCGTTGGGAGAAATCCGGCGGGCCTTCATTCTCTGCATCACCTGCACGGATCCAAGGATGGGAGAGGACGAACTACGCTTGCGACGGACATGCTTTTGCCAGGGCCTGGTCGCCATCGACATCGAGTGCAGGCAGACATGCAGACAACTTTACAGCTTTCCCAGGTACCGCGAAGCCTCGCAAGCTGCGTCGTAGTTGGCCCGTTGTGTAAACGCCTTGATGAGGGTGTTGTAGGACACGACCTTGCATGGAGGCTCCCGAAGCCGCTCAGAAGCCAGAGTGAAAGCTGCTCTTCATCTCGGTCCCTGACGTCTGCGACCGATGGCTTCATCTGCTCGGCCTGTGCAGCTGTAGGCTTCAGGGGATACGAGTACTTCAGGCTTCCGCAGTGCAGAGTGCAGGCACCAGCCTCAGTCAGAAGGTCCAAGACTTCGTCCACCTGGGAAGCCCCGGGGCTTGAAGGGCCTCTTTCTTTGAGGCGCGACTCCAGCCTTGTCTGCGGCAACCCCTGTGGAGAGTGTGACGTTCAGCGCGAGGCTGTCAACGGAAACGCCTCGCAACAGGAAAGTCACAGAATGACGGGTCGCCTTCTCCCTTCTTCCCCCTCCGCTTTCATGCCTCGGCTCCTCATGTCCCGGATGGTGGCCAAGGCGCTGGGCCTTTCTGATTCGAGATGCGCCCGCTCGCCTAGCTCGCCTCGCCCGAATCCTCAGCACGCTGCCAGTCTTGTCGCTTGTTGTGAACCCCCAGGATGGTCATGTAGGCACCTCAAATCTGAGTCCCCAAGCAGATGCAGCTATCTGCAGCTGAACAGCTGGCACTTTTCGTGCTCGCTGCGGAGTCACCGCACTTTCGCGTTGGCCATGCATTCACCAACCAGGGGAGCCCGGAGCCTCCGTCTCACTCCCCCTCCCCTTGAATTCAATGGGACTCGACAGGCCATGGCCAGTGCTGGTGACTGGACTGGTGGAGCCTGGGAGCACCAACGGACTTGAGAGTAGCCGGTTCTAGGCAGCTGCTTCAGGAAGCAACCACTTGAGACCCAAACTTAAAGTCTGCCAGCTCTCACAGGATACTGTCTCAGACTTTGCAGCCAAATCGACTTCTCAGCCGGAGTCTGCACGAATTGTTACTCGCTGCATGCCTCTGCAAACACTCCGTTCTTGCCGCTGCCGTCAGGCATCAGCTTTGCAGTCTTTATGACGGCATGATATGGTTCACTGCGCTTTGAGAAAGGTGCAATTGCACCGGCCGCCTCCAGCTTCTGAAATCATCTTCGGGCCGAGGGTCTTTGCGCACCTCAAGCACAACTCCCACCACCTGCAAGGGCGAAGCACCCACCTTCGGTGCCTCTGCTAGCTGCGACGATGCCAGCAGGCTGGCCTAGGTACAGCAACGCTCAGACGAGACACACATGCTGAAATACTAAGGTTACTCTACGACGGCGCTTGACTTGAAAAGTCAGAAAAGAAGCCGAAGTCTGTTTAAGTTTAAGGGGAGAAGAGGTACTTGCAAGGGCATCGAAAGGAGGACGTGGAGCTACCTGCAGCCTGCGCATGCTCCAACTGGGGGGAGCCCCGAAACCTTGGGGAGACACCAGCAGCCGCTTCGCCGAGACGAGGGCCTGCTCCTAGATCGCAGCACCAGTGCTGGCAAGGGCGGCTACGTTTAGGCGACGGGGTCGGTTGACTTTCGATTCTCGGTATGAAATGTAGGACTGATTTGGCTGGCTACCCCAGTAAGTTTTCATGCCAGAGCAGTTGGTGCTGCCGATTTCTGCGAAGCAGCTGGGGCCAAAATCGCAACTATGGAGCCTGTCTTGAGTCTCGAAAACATCTGTTGCTGGTTGTGTCCACGATAAGGATTTGGCGAGTTAAATGGTCACAACGAAAATACTGATTGCAATGCCACTGACGGTAATACCAAGACGATGATGAAACGATGATGGCGCTGGTGCTGGTGCTGGTGCTGCTGCTGATGATGATGATGATGATGACTGTGGTGGTGACGGTGACGGTGACGGTGATGGTGATGGTGATGATGATGATGATGATGTCGCTGACGCTGACGCTGACGATAATAATGATGATGATAACGGTGGTGATGGTGGTGACGGTGGTGATGGTGACGATGATGTGATGGTGATGGTGGTGGTGATGTGATGGAGATGGTGATTGTGATGGTAATGAACAATAGTGGTGATGGAGACGAAGATGGAGATGATGGTGACGATGATGATGATGATGATAGCGATCACGACAGCCGTTGGGTCGTTATCCGCATCATCAAACGGTCATCATCACCATCATACTCAGAACATCCTGTTGCCGTTTGGTTTCTGTTTGGGGCTTCCGCGCAACCCTTCCGTCACTGCTTCCGCAGTTCGAAGCGTTGGCACATTTCCGGGTCACTGCATGTCGTCCCTTCCGTGTGCCCTTCTGCGGACCGTTTTGCAAGCGAACCTTGCCGCAGAAACACAAACCCCTCCTGACGTATTACGCCAGCTCCTTTCCATTGGGCACGGCGGCTTGCATATTTGTTGTTTCGGCGCCCTGCCGCGGAGCAACGACTTTCGCAGCCCTTCTGCGTCCGTCCGAGCACACAGCCGTAGAGAGATGTCCAGATCAAGTGAAATAGTCTTCCGTCAAGAGGCGGAAAAAAGCTGATCATTCATTCATCAGCAGCATCATCATCATGAGAGTCCTCGCCACAGCAACAGAAGCAACAACGACCAGTAAGACAATTCGACCATAGAGCATCTCGTCATTGTTATTGTCATCGTCATCCTCACCCGCATCCTCATCACCATCATCATCGTCATCATCATCGCACACGAACCCCCACCACAACTCCCTGTCCCATCATCACCAGTCTTCTCAAATGCATCACGGCATTGTGTTCTCCTGCTCGTCGTTGCAGCGGAAGCGTTTAAGAGGAAAAACTAACCAGGCTTAACTCCGAAGAACTTCCCGCGAAGACAGAACCGGCACAGCCCTCAGCGGCCTGGTCACCGTTTTCGGCTCCTTGTGGCCTTCAACACACCGCTGTGGCAAGGGGCTATCGGGGATTGAATGCTGTCGCACGCCCCAGTGCCCCAACTGCCTCGTGGCTCGCAGCTCCTTCTCCAGCCGTGCTCGCTCTCGCAGAGCCTCGGCTGATGCGCCGGGCTTGGCCGACCAGCAGAGCAGAGGGCAGCCGCACCAGCTTGTACTCGCGATGCAAGAGGTCGACCTGCAACAAGAAAAAAGCGGCTTTACGAACCCGTGCCCGCGGGCCAATGAGCTGTGTCGGCCCCTCGTTTTCCCTCGTTGACCCCGAGTCACTGAGGCGTGGAGGCCAAGAAGAAAGGAATGGTCTTCGCGCCCGCAAGTGGTGAAACAGAAAAGTTGAAAAACTCAGGACATCGGGGCCATCGGAGCAGCCACAATCATGCCACCTTCAGGATCCACATCGATAGAGCGTAAAGAAGTGGGGATCGCAGCCCGAAACTGTGCGACGGCCACGGTCAGGTCATCCATGAAGTCAGGAACAAAGTCAGTTCTGCGAATCAGAATTCCAAGAAGGGTGTGCAGCGATAGCCGTCCCAAAGCACGAGCCAGCTCTGGAGGTACCAGCCGGATCAGCGTGATCTTGCCGAGATCTTGCACACGTTGGTGTATCAGAGCACACAAAGGCATGACCTCACGCTGCAGGCCCCGTTCGACTGCCTTCGTGTGGATGTGAGGCAAAAGGGCAGCCAGCACTGATACTTCATCTAGCTGATTCTCAAGGTACTTCTTCTGATTCTTGCCGAGCCTGAATGTCTTCTCATGATCAAAATGACAATGTGTGCAGAAGACCTCGCGCTTGCAGCATCCTTTCGCAAGATACACGCACGGCCTGTAGCACATGTCAGGATGTCCAAAGCTCCCGATGCTAGGAATTACAAGCGGATTGTCACTCAGCTCTGAAAGAATGTGGCTCGTCTTCAGGGCCTCTGTTATATGGCGCATGAGGCGAGGCCGAAGATTCTCAGTGTCCTCCTCCGGTGCCTCCAGGCCGGGCGGAGGTCCGAAGGGAGGGGGTGCAGGCACCGGAGGCAGCGCCCCACCCACCGCCGCGCGGGCTGGATGGGGATCCCTCACCCTCCTCTGACTCTGTAGACCGGCTGGGTCCCACGAGAGCTGAAAAAAGTCTCCGTCCTGACCGCCTTGTGCAACTGAGGTTGTCATCAGTTTGTGCAAGACAGCCAGGCTCATCTCAGGCTCTTGGCACGGGCTTGGGAGAGCTCCCGTGTCCGGACATGTGGCAAGTCGCCGAGGATCCCGGAAGCTTGCCAGGCACGTTCGCAGTGACGACCCACTCCTTGCCACTCCTTCGGCTGCAGCTTCAAGGACTTGTGCTTTTGGTGCCGGCCTGGATGCAGGACTCTCCACATCCTGCGGCTGTGATTGAAATGGCAAGAAGGGAGGCAACTCCGTCGGGGGCACATGCTCCAGGTGCGGTGCAGCGAAAGCCGGCAGTGGATCACGCTGCTTCTGGAATGGGAGCACTTTCGGAGCCATGGCTTCCATCCGCAAGGCTTCCACCGAACTGGCCTCCTCGACCTGCCACGCATCACGCCCTTCCAAACTGCCTCCCGATTTTGCTGATCCAGCCTTCTCAGGAGTCGTCGGAACTTGCATCTCGAGCTTCGGGCTCGAGGCGCTCAACGTCAACTCGCGATCTTTGCGAGATGATATCTTGTTTCTGCTCCTCTGGCGTAGGCGTAGGCCCTTGAGCTGCTCTTCTTGTGTTCTGACATCCTGCTGCTGTATTGGCACCTGATCACTGCTCGAAGACGATTTTTGACAGGTCCAGGGCTTGAAAATTTGCTGCAGCCGTTCAATGAATCCAAGAGCATGGCTTCTGCTGTGCGACGCTTGGCCGGATTGCTGTGTGAGCAAGCGTGCCAAACCAAAGCTTCCGTCAAGATCAAGTCCAGGGCAAACCACCTCGATCGGAGAAGTCCCCTTCTTATCCTTTCTCTGCTTTCGCACCTCTTGCACAAAGCGGTACAGCAATGCGAGGAGAATGACAGAGTACGGAATCATGAAAAAATACACCTGCCGCAGGGACAGGCTTGTTTCTTGAACAGTCAGCTTCACGGCCATCCTTGGATCCATGGCATCTGCTTCCATCACATTGAGCATGGCACGCGCGCCAAATCGAAAATCACACCGAAGGCCACAACTAATTGCATGGCCAACGTTGTTGTGCATACACTCACCATCTAGCCGATAGTTGCGAATGGCGGCCGTGGCAACAGACATTTCGATGCAGCAGAAGGCACCGGAAAAAACTCACTCCGTCAACCTTTCAAGTGAAGCTCACTGTTCCGTGGAGGCCTTTCAACAAACATGACGCCAACAAATCAATGAAGCCTCAAGAACCCGAAACACGAAAGGCTCGAAAAGGCTCGGAAGACCCGAGGCCTTCCTCTCCAGGCTCTCACGGGAGGTCGCATCTCGCAGACCTTCCTGAGCCCAGGCTCTTTAAGCCTTTAGTTCGTGAGAGGCCGCTAGGCCTCAGAGGTTAAAAGTTTTAGAATTCAGCGAAACCAACTCTTGCTGTTGTTGCTCTTGCGACCATTGCTGGTACAGAGAATGCTTGCCTGGACTGCTGTTTGCGGCTACGAAACTCTGTATATAACCTAATGCGAGTTCGGTTCTCAGGCCTCGCGCAAGCGGGCAGCTTCAAAGCGAAGCACCTCCGGGTAGACTTCGAGCCACTCCGCTAGCGCCGGGGATCGAAACTATTGTAACTATGGTTCTCCGAGACACCTTCGAAGACATTTGGGTCAACATCATGTTTAGACAACCTCCACAACGGTAGTCTAACCACCATGATAAGATGATAAGGCGTGCTGCTGTTGGCTGTTGCTGCTGCTGTTGCTCTTGATGCTGCTGATGCTGTTGATGCTGCTGTTTCTATTTCGGCTGCTGCCGCTGGGTGCTGCTTCTCCGTGCGACGAAAACGAGTACTTTATGGCATATGGATTGATGGAACTTAGACTTGCGCTTCTTACTATACACCCCAGGCCTAGCTGGGCGGGTGCCTCTTCATGAGAAGGCGAGAGCACCCGCTTTCTCCCCCGACGGTTACGGTGTGTACAAGCTAATCCGGAATGTTGGTCGTGCCTGCTGCATGGCGGTCCTGTGTGCATCTTTGGGGCTTCCCTGCATGAAGTTTTTCACCTCCGTCAGCACCTGTTGATCTCGGACCGCATGAATTGTCTTGACGATGTTGCGCCCTGCCTACCGTGCTTGCGACATTGATTGTGGAGGTTATTTCGGCCGTCTGTGCATTCGTGTGCTCTCGCACTTGGCCTGCTGAGTTGCTTGATGTGGCGATACTGACACTCGTCGAACATTCTTGCTATATTGGCCCTGTCTGCGTGAAGACGGTGAGCTTCCTCTGCATGTAGTTGCTGTGAACACTTCCGTTTTCTGTCGTCGGGGGGTGTAAGGCCCCTTCCGCACGGAGCTTTTGTGCTGACTCTGCATGCGGCCCGTCCGTCTCGTTGTTAGCTGTGCTTGCTACATTGCTAGATTTGTTACATCTTGGCCGGCAGTTGACGTACAAAACACCTGCTGGGGACGGCTGTTGACATTGGGCTCCTCTGTCGGCTCCCGGCCTCATGCATGCCGGAGTGTTGTGCTGGCACATGAGATGCAAGTTTGCTGGTTCAGAGGGGCCGTAGATGTGCCTCCAGCTCAGCCTCTTCTTCGTGGGACAGCGCGTCCACGATCTGCGCAGGCCTTAACAGGGATTGGCTTCTCGGTGCACATCGGCATCTGCACTGCATGCCACACTTCGATCAGGCCCTGCGAATCGAGTACCTCCGTTTCTATACCATATACCCTAGCCGCACATCGCAGCAAAACATGGAACACACACACCCCGCGAAGCAAAACAAAGGCTAGAGTGGCACTCTGAGACGTGCGAATCGTCCTTGCGGCTCCCGACTCCCTCCCCTGAGGCCCATGCGCCAGACCTGCGAATCCTGCGAAGGGCACTAGGAAATGCAGCTCCGGCAGTGCTCATGCCTCTCCATTTTCCAGAGTCGCGGCCTCCGTGCCCGGGAGTAGGTGCCGAAGTCCGGCGGTCAATTCGTCGAAAGCCCTGCAGACTCACTGCAGGCTGAAACCCATGCAGTCGTTTGCAGCGAGTGCCAAGAAAAGCACTCGGATGCCCGACGCTTGGCTAAGGAGCAACAACTTGCCAAACAACACGTCCTAAACTTTGGGGCACCAGCGGAATGCCAGAAGAGCACATCCCCCAACGCGCGGCAGCACAAGATCGGCTGTCTCCTACATCTGAGTCTGAGCATGGCCTGTACGTACATTGGGCTGGCCACGTGCATCCATCCACGCCAGCAACACTGGCGACAAGGAACTACTTATACAGCCTTGTTGCTGCAGCTCCTTGTTGTTAACGCATTAGCACTGATGCAACAGGCTGCATGGGTTTAGATGCCATGACAGGCTAGTTAAAGGCTGCTTTTCCTGCTTGGGTCGTGTCAGGATTGAGCCAAGCTGAAGATCACGGTACCCGCACCAGCTCATCACAGTTCCCAGTCCCTGCAATCAAAACCTGAAGGATTTTAGCGGAGTGCAACAAAGCCCTGCTCATAGCAGCGGGGCACGGATAGAAGGAGTCGTCATAGAGCTCAGCTTCCTGGCAGATAGAAGGCTTACTCTGGCAGCAGTCCAGCTCCATGAAACGGTGCTGTCACCGCAAACAGAAACTGCCGGAGAATGCACGCCGGCTGAAGGGCTGTCAAGTGGAAAAACCCAGACTGTTCTGAACTGTTTCTCTTTGCAGGCCTTGCAAACGCCGATGTTTGGGAAGACAATGCCACATACAACACTGAGTCTGGCAACTGTTACACTGCGTTTTGCCTTACCTTGATCTAGTCCAAGCCCTGCATCATCAGCGTCTCAAAACTAGCCGGCAGGAACTCAAAGAACTCTCGGGCACGAGTGAAGTCACCGACCTGTGGCGAAACATTGAGATCACTGTTACATCACTTGCTAACAGTAGTGCCACTAGTCACTAGTGGCTAATCGACATCATTCATCGTAGTCATAGCAGCACGCACAGCACAAGGGCGATAACCGTGGTATTTGTACTAGTAACAGCAACTATCGTCCTAGAGTAGTAGTCGTTATGGTGGCGGTTGGCGGTATTGCTGGCGACCGGCGGCTGCTGCTGCTGCTGCTGCTGCCACTGCTGCTGCTGCTGCCGCCATCGTCGTCGTAGTAGTTGCAGCAGGAGCCTTAGCACCGCTACCAGTAGCAGCAGCAGCAGCAGTATTAGCAGCAGTATTAGCAGCAGTAGCAGTGAACAGCATGTGCAGTAGCAGTAGGAGCAGTAGCAGTAGCAGCAGCAGCAGTAGCAGCAGTAGTAGCAGTAGTACTGGTAAACTACTACTACTACTACTACTACTACTACTACTACTACTACTACTACTACTACTACTACTACTACTACTACTACTACTACTACTACGACTACGACTACGACTACACGACTACACGACTACTACGACTACTACTACTACTACTACTACTACTACTACTACTACTACTGCTACTACGATGTTGGGAAGTTCATGTTTTGCTAGATACTGTTGTGCTGCATTCTACATTCTGGAGCCCTTCAGCTTCTACGTTTTGGAGTTGGAAACTTTTGTTTCTCGAGTTTCAGCATGTTTTGGGGCCTTCGGCCTTGCTATTTTGTTTGTGTTGCATGTTGTCATATTCTTTGTTGTTGTTAGTCTTTTTTATGTTGTGGAGTTCTTACGCCCCGCCACCCACCCCAGCCCCAAGCCCCCCAAGCCAAGCCACGCCAAGCCATTTTAAATCAGAACTCTCTGTCACCCAATGCTCTCGTGGGAACCCTTGTGTAACAGCAGAGCCTGCCTAACAGTACTGTCTAACAGCAAAGCCAAGGCCCGTACGTTAAGTTGAAGACTTCAAGACGTCGCGTCCGTAGAAAACATGTAGTTTCAAATATCTTGGTCCTTGACCATAAAACTTGCCAAAACTCTAGAAATAGCAGCATCTGTAGAAAACAAGTAGTTTACAACATCTTGATCCTTGGCCAAAGACATGAAAAATCATGCCGAAACTCGAGAAATGACAGCGTCCAACTAACTTTCGCGACATCGATCAAAGCCAGTCCAAAACTCGAGAAATGACAGCGTTCAGCATGTCTTCAAATCGCAGCACAGATGACAGCAGAAAGGACCACCCCCCTGGAACAAGTAAAACAGCTCAAAACTCGAGAAATAACACACTCAGATGAAGAAACACTGGCGTCACCAACCAACGCTGTACCTAGTAGCAGTAGTAGTAGTAGTAGTAGTAGTAGTAGTAGTAGTAGTAGTAGTAGTAGCAGTAGCTGTTGGAGCAGTCAGCGGCCTCAGCAGTAGCAGTAGCCGTGGCAGAAGTATAGTGGCAGCACTGAAGCAGCAGTACTGTAATCGCAGGAAGTTGGAAATGGAAGTGGATAGCTGGTAGTTGGCATTTGTTGGTTGGAAGTGGAGGTGGACAGTGGGTAGTGGGTAGTTGGTAGAGGGTAGTGGATCATGGGTCTGGGAGGTCTGGGTCGTGGGTCTGGGTCGTGCGTCGCAGCGAGTCGTGCGTCGTGGGTAGGTGTGATCGTGGTTGTGGCCGTGGTCGTGGCGGTGGTAGTCGTAGTCGTTTTCGTGGAAGTAATGATAGGCATAGTTGTCGTCGTTGGTGATACGAGTGAGAGCTGTACACGTACCGGCATTTGACGCGTTTTAGCGCATCTTGATATTTTAGCATCGACATCTGCGCCGGGACTGGTATCAGGATAAGCTTCAACTTGATCGCAACAATGCCTTTCTACATCTTTCTACTAGTACAGCCTGTAGCTGCTAAAATGAAAATTCACTAACCTCACCGTTCGATTAACACTGTCAGATTCAAACAATCACTAGTCAGCAGATGCCTCTAAGGTTTTGTAAAAACGACCAGCACTGCTTCGGCTCTGGCTGCCGTCAGTGCTCATGGTGCACCGAGCCTTGTGGTTTAGGGGTTTAGGGTTTAGGGTTGGTACTTTATCCGCAAACTTTCTGGTGGTCCAGTCCGGTGTCGAAGGCCTCTGCAGCGAAGCGGACCAGGCAGCTGCAAGTGATGGCCGTGGTCTCGAGACCATCCTCTACGAGGCGATCGTAGACTCCTCGACAACTGGAAAGGCTTCGGGTTTTCTTGTGAGGACTGCACTCGAGTACTGGAATGGTTGGTATATGTCCCCACGAGATCCCACGAGGCTCGGGCGCAGTGCTAAACGAAACTGTCTCTGAACAGCCAGCTGCTTCATGACCTCGCAAGCTCTGACGAAGGACAAGGAAGACACAGCATGCCAGGGCAAGCACAAGAAAGGCTGGCGAAGACCTACCAATCAAGCCAGCACAAGCACAAGCTACAACGTAAGTTCCTGGCGCTCTCGTAGAAGGCCAGCGACCGTGGCACCTCCCCGACATGAAAAGATGGATTGGCCCATCGAAAGCGTCACTGCCGTGGCCACGGCGGCCATGGCCTCGCTCTGCACCATGTCATCTATGATGGAGTTGAGCATCTGGTGCTTTCCGGACTCAGCCAGGGGTCCGAGAATTTGGCTTGGGATCGTATGAGCATGCCGTGATTTTACATCCCATTCTGCCACGACACTCGAATTGCCAGTTGCGTCAGCCCAGAATACAGATCCGCCGCTCGCTGCCTGACAAACTCTGCAAAGTGTCTGCAACTGCACCAACCTCCAGAACATGGGCCCCCACCCGGACTCGGCCGCAACTTCTGCCATCGTCTGCCCCCTGGCATCTGATCCAGGCTTTACTGGGCATTGACAGAGTGCGCGGCGCCCACAAGGTTCTAAACTCTAAACCGGTCGCGGCCGCGTGCTGCGAAGCAGGTGGCGCAGTTCGGAGTAGAGCCCAAGGATCCTGCGAAGCTTTCGGCGGCAAGATCTTCAGGGTTCAAAGCAGCGCGGCTCTGTGCGGCAGCGCGATTATAAGGTACAGAGCGGAGCACCGGGAGGGGCTGGGTTGGCGGCCTGCTCGGAGGACGTGGGGCACTGTTCTGCTCCTGCAGACACTGCATCACCTGAGATCATCAAACCGCTGCTGTCGGGCGCTCGGTTGATATGCGGGGGCCGAAAACTGTCTGCTCACTACAGATTTCCCATGTCACGGAAATCTCAGAAAAACTGGAAACCAAAAGCCCAAAGCTCTTAGCTGAAGCGAGATTGCATTTGATGGGAGCTTTCGAGCGGAAATTCCGAGGACTTGATGCTTTTTGCGATGGCCGCTTGACCATCCTTATGGCTTATGCGGCGTATGGCACATTTGATCTTATGACATGGAGCTGAAGATCAAAGGTGGCGGGAAGCAGAATCTGGTGCGCAAGACACGGCTTCGGAAAATCCTCAAGCACCTTCCTGCCGCAAACTCACCAACCGTGTCCATCTCAACTCGTCTTCGATGCTATTTCACATCTGAAAGCCGAACCCGCCGGAAGCTCAGCCCGCGGCTTCACGCAGGACCTCCGCAGGCCTGGGCAGTCGTGGGACCCGGCATCGAGTAACGGTATATATGTCTGGGTCCAGGAGCCAAGAAGCGAAACGAATGACCGCAGGCTGCAACATAGCTTCCTATAATAATGCATGGACCTCATGTCGTTCCTCGCTGGATCCAGCAGCGAGCGAGGAGACACAGAAGCCCCGACATGCCAGCGAAGCGACCCTAGACAGCCGAGTAAGCTCCAGCTGAAACTTCCGAGGTCCCGGCTCCGTGGGCAAGCGGTGCTTCGTCGCCTCGCAGCGCCTCACATGTCACTCCACTATGGCATTGAAGACCACCAGCCGCTGGCCATGCGCAAAGTGGAAATTCTGGGAAGTGCTGCTTCATGTTGGAACACAGACTCCCAGAAAAGCTTGGACCCATCACTCAGCGGAGCTTCCGACACCGAAACCGGGGAGCCAGCTTCGGCTGCGCAGAAGATTTCGGCAGGTCGCAAGCCTCTCAGGGCTAATGAGTCGCGCATCACTGGTATGCATACTGGTAGCGCATCGCAGGCACACCTGAAACCTTGACATAACCGAGCAAACTGCCGCCTTCTGGGAAACACTCTTCGCGCCTGAGCCCGTCAACAAGCCAAATGCTCACTGCTGGTCAGCGCATTTTCAGTAATAAAACGGAATGAACCAAACTCGCCAAGTTGGTCAACCGCCAAGACAAGATTGACAACTTCGCTGTGTATGAACGGCTCGAGTTCAGAACGCACGGGTCTATTGGCAGCACCGTCGACACAAAGTTGACCATGAACGGCAGGTACAGCCACGCACAGCGGCTGGTAGGCTTCAGGCCAGGCGATGGAGAGAAACGGCGCACTGCAAATGCACAAATGAGGGTCACTGCCTGGCATGTTATTGCAGTGAGGGGACAAGACAGCTTCAATAATCGAGGCCGGCAGCGCAAAAATCACAAGCTCGAGGCCAATTGACCTGCTTTGCTATTCTTTGTTTCTGGCAACCAAGGGCGGCATGCCATCTCGGGGGCTTGGTCTTGAGCTGGTTTTGACAATAAGGCGGATGCTCAAGCCGTATGCAAATCGATACCCCCCGGAGGCGATGCATTTCCGAAAACAGGGGACCCTCATGGGAGTACCCCAAATACTAGGATCCTCATTATCAGGACCCCCGCATGAAGGTACCCGTAATTTTCGGAAACTCCCATATGGCAGACCCCAAGCCCAACCCCGCACGCCTCGAGCTGTCATCAGAAACTAGGGCTTTGCGAGCTCTGCCAGGCTTTGCATAGGTGCTACAGCTCCCTGCGAATTTGCCTCCAGACTTCTTGGAACAACTGCACAAACGGCGTAGTCATAACCTGGGCCACTTTGGGAATGACACTGCAATATTGTGCTGGAAAAAGCTGCGCACGCTGCACTGCAGATGGCCGACATCCGAGCCACCCGCTGCTGAGAGAAGGAGTTAGTTTGTTGGACCGCAAGAAGCGTATGACGGCCTGCAATATGGAACAAGAACACATGCCGCACATGCATCAAGAATCTCGCGTTTAAGTGCGTGAACTGACATGAACTATGCACTTCATTCCCGGCCTCGGGGCCAGTAGAAGGATAGTAGAACGCGAAGGCGTCAAGGGCGAAGCGTGATAGGACTCGTAAGTTGGACTTTAGAGCTTTGCGGTGGCATGCAGCAATCTTTCAGTCACGGTAACATGTACCATCGTGTCGGTGAACTTTGCATGATCACATCCTACGCAGCAGGCAGACGACAGATTTGGCGACACGGGCTGATGGGTATAGCCCAGCATGCAGCGCTTGTAGCTGCCACATGCATGTCAAATTCTTTGTGAAACCATGGCGTGCGGAAAACATGACATCACGTGTCATGGCACGACCACCCGAGACCTTTGCAAGAATTGTGGATGCAAGAAGACCTCAGCACAGCTCAGGGCGCAACGAGGCACAGTTCGGGATTCTGGGATGCCAGCTGCATCCGCCACTGACAGCGGCTCTTGCGACGCGGGCACCTCTTTGAACTCCTGCATCTGCAGCTTTGAGAAGGAGTAAGGGCAGTGCCGTGCCAAGGAAGAGCAACATTTCGCATCTAAGGCAGACCAAGCACTTGTGCTCTTGCGCATCCGAGCGATATCACAGAGAGAGAGAGAGAGAGAAATAGATAGATCGTCCTTGCCGCCGGAGTCGTATCTCAGGCACTGCACAACCATGCGTTCCTCCAGGGACCTGCACGTCGCCCGAGCTGCGAAAGCTGGAAATCAAAAGAAGTGTTGAACGTCGCCGGCAGGGCGCAGGAGAGGGCAGGATCTGCAGCACGCGAGACCAGCTTCCCTGATCCACGGCCATGAGCACATGAGTTGCACATGTCTTTCAAGATGTGCACCAGCTTCTTTGGCCTCTGAAAAGCCATAGAGCGCTCGGAGATCATGCCGTCCTAAGTCGCATCGCGAAGCCCTGCCCTCCAACTTAAGCCCGAACGCTGCAAGCGCGTAAGGCTGCAGCCAGTGTGAATGCTCCGGAAGAGAATGATGAAGCGATCAAACCTGCCAAAGCTGGGCAATGGCATTAAAATACAAAAGAACAACAAGTAGAGTTATGATTTGATTAGTTAGGTCAGCCTCTCCAGATCTTCATCGAAGGATTTGAGCACGAGTTCACGCTGTTCTCGGTTGGCATCGCCCTGGCTTCAAAAGGTAGCTGCCATACCCTCAAGACGTTGCATTGCAGTGTGCCGAAACCGAGTTCCTTAAGGCAGTACTTCTCAAGGGCGTTCCGCACCAACTTCCGGTTGCCAGACCGACCTCCAAGTCAAACGCAAAGCGGTTTGAACCGCAGTGCTGGAGCACAGGAGAAAAAAAAACTGCATCTTCAGGTCGGCGAGATCACCCCGCCTGCTGAGGAGCTTCGTCTGGCAGAGTCGGCCTCTCCAACGGCAACGGCAGCTACGGGAGCCGACAGCAAAACTTCTACCGTCCTCAGATCGCGCCTTCGGCAAGCTGGGTCTTCGCCTGATCCGTCTGACGTCAGCTCTCCGACAAACCCTCGAAGTCTCGTTTAGTTCACACAAGGTCCCGACCCCAGGGAAGGTGTGCGCCTGCGCGGGAGGCTCGGCCTGAGGACATTAAGGCAGTGCCATCAAGAGCTCGTTGATTCCATTCCCTCCCAGCGATCACTCCGGTTCAAAAACTCGGCTGAGGCTTGCACTGCTCTGACTCCGTGCTACCAGAGCCCGCCGGAGTTGCCTAGGACAGTGCAAAAAGTGGATAAGGATGTCAGAGGCCACAAGTTTCAAAATCCAATATTCTGAGCAGTGGACGGGCTGCCTGGGAGGCCTGCCTTGCGCATGCGGCCGGGCGACCATTGGCGCAGGTGCGCCTTGCGTTTTTGCACCGACCACCAGCCCGCACTACTCTTTTCCCTTTTCTGCCTCGCAGCCCCAGGGAGTTTGTTGGCGCTGGGTCGCCCGAGCGATCGCCCGAGTGGCCGGAGCTCGGCTTGCGAGGTTCGCTGCTTGGCGGGTCAGGGTCGCCCGAGTCGCCTTCCACGGCACATGACGAACGGCAAGGATCCTTCGGCGGGCTGAGATTCCGCCTTCCCGGGACCGCGCCGAGCGTGCCGAGAGAGGCTCACGCTGGATCGCGCTCGTTGCCTCGGGCACAATGTGGGCTCAGAAAGGCTTTTGGATGCGCTGTGCATGTCGGGAGGGTCAACCGGCGAGCAATGGCGAGTGGCGAGCATGGAAGGGGCCTGGCCTTCACGCGGGGGGGCTCCACGACAACCTCCACACCTCCACGCCGCTTCAAGCCTCCGAAACACTTCCACAACGAGGCCGGAAGAAGGAGCAAATGATTGATCAAGAACCCGGCCCATCACAGCCTCATCCTGATCCAGAATGCTGACTGGGTTTTGTTCCAAGGCTTTCCTTGCTTTTCTCGTTGCGCCTCTGCTGTGAAGACTGCACCGGGCACGGGATCACAGGCCACCTCAACTGGATCCACCTGGGCTGCAATTGCAGAGCTGATACGAGAGGTCGAGGGGCCAAATGTCGAGAGCAAGGAACTCCCTTGGACAGAGTCTGGTAGCCGCTCGTAGCAGGAGTTGTGACGGCTGAGTGAGCAGGACTGCTCACGGAGTCCTGTGGTCAAAAAGCTTCAACAGCTCGAAAGCAAAGACTCTCTTGCAGAATTGCTCCTGCAACGTGCCTGCTTTCACTTCCTGGACACCTCCAACCGAGCGGGCTTGAACAGCAGATGATGCAGGCCCAAACTTCAGGACAGATTGAATGCACCCTGCTGAGGAAACCTGCGGAGCTGTGACCCGCATCGTGCTGCATCGCGGAGGTGGGGACCAGCTCACCCACCTTCAAATCGCTCGGCTCTCCCCGGCTCAGAAGGCCACACACAGGTACCCGTGCATGTGCGCGAGCTTCTAGGCGCTCATATCGTGCTTGTTTCGCTGGGCCCCGCGGCCTCCGCGGCCTCCCAGGCCAGGCCGGCCTCCGGCTTCTCGGACAAGGAAGGCCCTGTGCGGCTCAGAGAGACGGAGCTCCAGTGACAGGTGTTCGATGGCTCGGGCGCTCGGCCTGGGCCCTCAGACACGAGCTCCGTCAGGTGCGAGCTTTGATGCCTCGGAGGCTCAAACAACGGCCGAGGCTCCCGGTATTTTGGCAGTATCTCCCGCTAACCTGGGATCCCCTACGAGAGCTTCAAGGATTGCGCCGCCGCTTCAAGAACCTCGCACTCGGCCTCCAGCTCCTCCCTGTAGGGGATCGCCTAACGCGCATGATGCGACGTGAGACCCAACGTGGCCTCGCTCTACCGCCAATCCCGGAAAGGCAAAAGGATGCCAAAACCTCCTGTACGCACGAGCAAAGTGCACCTCGCCATCCATCCGGGTGGTGGCTGTAGGGACATCACCTCGCTTCCATGCCACTGCACGGACCAGCACATATGCCAAGAATGTACAAGGCCTCTTGGAGGAGCCGAAGCCGCCGAAGCCTCACTCTGACCCTCACCTGGCAAAGGGCCGCGCTCCAGCAGTGATGCGGTGCCTCGCCTCTGGCGTGGCGACTGCGGTGCTGGCCTTCGGGCTCGGGAGCTTCCGGAGCGTCTGCCATGCCGACGGCGACTGCAAGTGACGAGTTTGCCATAGGCCATTGGCTTTCTCTGTCACTCGCAAGGCGCGCAGCCTGGTAAAGGCGGATCAAGTGGAGGGCCGGCCTCCGGTTTACTCAATACCTCAAGATACCAAGACATCAGACTTTCTGATGGTTTTCGTAGGTGCTGCAGCATCCTAGGACTACGCTCCTGGGGCATCCGGCATCCTCTCGCCGCAAAGTCCGCAGCTCCATAGCATCGTCCAGCGGCTCGGAGTCCAAGCCTCTCAGTACCCAGTCGGCGGAGGGGCGGGGGGGCGGGGGTAGAGCAAGCAACAGCTGACCCCAGACCTCACACCCAATACCCCCTCCCCTACGCTTTCACCCGAATTCTCTAACCGCCTGATAAACCAACCTTCCAAATACAACCCAACCAAAAGCGCTTACCGCCTGTACCGCTTTACCACAACCCAGACCCACAACAACCGAAAGCACCTCCTTGCCCCACACCTCACATCCATAGCCCCCCCCTACGCTTTCACACCGTTCTCAACCCGCCTCACAAATCAACCCTGCAAAAGCTAAAAATGATTATAAACCTAAACTAGGTAAAATAAATCACCTATGGATTGAGATAGAAGAATAAGAGACATGTTTATGTCAATAAATTGAATAACAATGATATTCGGTTTCCAAAGAAACAGACATTAGAATATTATGAGATCAAGTTTGACAACCCAGAGAGAGCATATAAGAATAATTCTGTTCTTATGTATAGATAACAGATAGTGAATGTTCGGCATGACGAACAGGAGGAAATCATTATTGAGTTCTTAACTGCGTGTGGAGAAAAGCAAGAGGAACAACAAAACAAGACCCGGAAGAACAGGAAGAAGATTTTAAAGCAGTTTATGAAAGGTTAGATAAGAAGCAGGAGACCACCAACGAGAAATACGTTCAACAGAAACGAGAAATATACTCCGCTTATGAATGCATTGATAAAATGTTAACAATGCAACAGATACTGATATGTGTGCATATCGCAGAAAGAAGATGATTGAAAATTATAGTGTTGTATTACAAATTCATAAGAAAGGAAAGTGACATGTTTGTAGCAAAGAAAGATTAGAACAAATACACCTTAATGTAATAGAAGCACCAAGGAGCCATTATAATGATTGGCATTGTTGATAACTCAGCATTTCTTTACTAATTAAGTTCAGCAAGATTCTATGTGGGGGACACAAGTGCCTTGCGGGGCTTTGCCGAAGCGTCCCGGTTCAGTGTTATGGTCTTTTGAGTTTGTCTATTCGGGGGTCTTACCCTACACCATTTGCGATTGCATGAGCATATCTGATTAGGATATCGGTTATTCTATGGATAAGGTTATGGGGTTGGGTAGTTGGTTTGGTTTTGGGTTGTATCATGGATAATTGTATTTGTTTTGGGAGGTGCTTTGTGTGTTGGGTTGTGTTATGCATTTGTGTGGGCTGAATTGTCAGGCGGATTGAGAAATGGGGTGAAAGTGTGGGGGAGTAACAGCATGTGAGGTGTGGAACCATTGCTTGCTGGAATGAGGGGGCATGTCTGCAACCCCGCACTGCTTTCTTTGAAACGCTCGGGACCCCTGTCGAAAGGCACAGGAAGGCAGTCACAGAGATCGGATGACCGTGTGCGAAGGAGGCGGCAATGTCTGCCCTCAACCTTCTGTCTCACCACTGACGCCACTGTCGAAGCACGTAAACCGGTCGCGCAAACCTTGGGTGTTGAGGGCATCATGCGGTACAACGCCACGAAGCCGAAGAATGCAGCTGAATCTTTGAGATCTTGAAGTCGACGGTTCATCCGCACCTGGGCAATCCTGGGCACAGAATGCACCATGCCTCCATCGGTCACGCTTTTCGAGGGCCTGTGCAAGAGATCCTTGCTCAGGTTGATTCCACCTTGCGTTGTTGAACTCGACATCGTCTTGTTCACTCACGCCAGCATGTGGCAACTTCTACATCGGTCATGCGACAGCGGTATCCTTCCCGGTGTAGTTCGATGACCTGAGTTCAAAAAGCGCGTCGCACACAAACGACATCATCGGAGAAACTGCACGACAGCTGTCCAACATCAGAATCTGCGGGGCCTGCGCATCCAACATCTCCCAGTCCGACAGAATGTTCTTCTCAAACTGCACCTGCTCGCACACCCCATCACATCGCAAAGGTGCACGTCCTTGCCGACGACACTGCCTGCCATGGCCAGAGTCCCCGGTTGCGTCCAAGCTCGAGGACCTGGCGCAAGATCTTGGCATCGAAGCCTTCGGCATCCTCGGGTGGCAAGGAAGCACTGCGGTTGGCGACTATGGAAAGAGTCGCTGATTTCGCCAAGCATCTATCTTCAGTATATCCAGGGAACCTTGCTCGGGCGGCCGGGGTCTGCGGAGACATGTTCCGACATGTTAAGTAAGATCTCTGAGTGTAGCCTAGGCACCGATGCCATACACTGTTAGCAAGGTCTCGTAGGTCATGCAAGGAACCTGCACCCTTCCCATCACGTCCATGGCCCGCTTGCCCAGCCATTGGCGGACCCCCTCAGGCGGTCTCTTCAGGGACGAAGTGCCCCGGACCCATCCTGAAGACAGCTAAACGCATCCACATCGACATGGAAGCATGGCAGCTACAGCATTGCTATGCTATGCTGAATGGGAGCGATGCGCCTGGAAGGCACTCGTCGAGGCCCAGCTTCGACACCAGCGCCTGGTCGCAGAGGTTCTCAGACCCTCGGTGCGGCCCGACCAGCTCCGGCTGAACGAAGTAGAGCGTATCGAAACCGTCGTAGTCACTCACGGCCACGTTCAGCAGGAGCTTGCTGGCACCTCCATGGGATGGCAGCCTATCGAAGTAGGTCCGCAGCGGCTCGACCGAGATTCCTTGGACGTCCTCCCGCCAAACATGCCGAGAAAGCAGGGTGTCGAAGTCAGCTGTTCCGATCTCCAAATAGTTGAGGTGACGCCTGCGGTAGGCCCAGGGAGACCAGGCCCCGGAGCTTGCGGAGCTTGCCGTGGAGGCGAGCGGCGTTAGTGAGCTTAGAGGCTTTCGCATCTTCGCATTCTGGAAGCCAACATAGTCGGGCAGAAGCCGGCGGTCGTTCCAAAGCGCAGCACGAACGTCAGCGGAGTTGTAGCCGGAAACTTCCACGATACGCTTCGACTCGTGGTCGATAGCCCACATGGGCTCCCACTCAGGCTGCTTCCCGAAGTTAAGTGTATTCACATTCCCCAAGTGCTGACACTCGTAAGGTTGCTTCCACCTCACCCAGATCCGATGACCCCGGGAAGGCAGCAACTGCCTAAGCCAGAAAACATGTGCCTCGTGGGGTGTTATCCGACTGTTGCTGGCAATCGCCTGTGCCCAGGGGTTTCCGCTCACAGTCAGAGTCTTGCGATCTACGATGTAAGCAGCACCACCGAGGAACGGGGCCACTGCATAGGGTCCAAATGCTGGATCTGCATGAGATAGCTGGTCATCCAGCCAGGAGTTCACAAAAAGCGCCAAAACCCCACCTTCGGTTACATCAGTCATATAGTCCCTCAGGGCACGTGCCACCGTTGTCCGGCCCATTAAGATATCGTCGTCGCAGTGAAGAAAGAAGTCAAGGTCAGCTCTGCTGAGAAACGTTTCAACAGCCATGGCCAGGACTCGAACAGTTCCCAGGTGCCGGGACATCCTCGTAAAATTTCTAATCTCCCCAGCTTCAACCAATTCCTGGATCATGGACTGCTTGCCGTCCGAAGACTTGCTTGCGCTTGCATCATCAATCAGGTGCCACTCGAGGTAAAGGTCCGGAAGCTCCTGCTGTGCATTCTCCACCGAGGCCCGCAAAGACAAGGTTGACAGCGCATGCCGCCAGAAGCGGTTGCGTGTGATGACGCTCAGCATCACCCTGGGTCCCAACCCTTCCCGGCCTTTCCGGCCTTCAGGTGCCACGGCCAAGACTTGGCCATGGAGCAAGCATATGTGGAGTGCCAATAGAAAGTGAATGCATCGAAACATCTGGAAATCGAGCCAGGCAATCCCTCACGTTCCTGCTGTAGGCTGCAGCCCTAGGGCTGCCCTGCTTCCATCTGGACATGGTCTGGAACAGTCTGGACACGGGAGAGCAGGCATACTCCCGTAGCCCGAATGCAGCTGAGCGCCAGCACATTGCTGCAGGCATGCACTTTGCAGGGGAAGGAGAGCAAACAAAGCAAAGACGGTGGAGGACAGATGAACGCGAACTTCGCTGCACAGCAGTCATAACAGCCAAGTGTCAGCACTGTGGGCAGCGGCTAAACACCACTCACATTCACTCACCTCTGCTCACGACAAGCCCTTGCCTCCGTCTGACACCAGACAGCTTCCTGGTAGGTTATCAGTGCTTTTGCAACGAAACTTCTTTTGAAGAACATCTTCGCACCACTTCGCTGGCTATTTCTTCTTCTAGATACCAGAAATTGACATGGCTGACATCTTCTTTCACCGCAGGTACAGCTATTGTTGCCATGGGACGAAGCGTCTGCATGTGAGAGGAGCGGTGGAAGTCGTCCTGCTGACCATGCTCGAGACCGAATCTGGCAGAGACCCCTGTGGCTTGCCAAGATCAGCGATGCTGGCCATGTGACATGTGCTCTCTGCTGGAAAGCTGGTCTCCTCAAGCGACTGCCTGCCAAGGATGAGCAAAAAACACGCAAAGTCTAATCAACAGCCCGTCTGCTGCCTGCCGGCCGCCTCGCCCGCCGGTGCTCGCCTTATGGTCCTGCAAAGGGAAGTCCGACATGGAACGCATGGAACGAATCAAGAAGGCAAACACTGTCGTTAGAAAGGCATCCGAGGCATCGGAACTTTGTCTGCACGTAAAGGATTGCGAGTCTTTTGCCGAACAGCGGAGAGACGACAGGCAATTCCAGCTTAAAGGACCTTTGCGGCTCTGAGTGTACGACTACGCTTGCCGGCTGCCCGATCTCCCTCAGTTGCGGCGTCAGATCCGGCGTATCTTTTCCCAGCGATCCCAGCCTCGGCCAGGCAGGAACATGACAAGTGGAAAGGGCGTTTCTGGTCCCAGCTCGCTGGGCGTCAGGCTACGAGCGCTTGCTCGCTTCTGCAGCTTCAAGGAAAGCTTGTCCTTGCGCACTTTCCATGTAGACTGCCTCAAAACGAGACACAAGCATCTTCGCGACACGGCATTCGATGCTGCTTGGGTCTGCACTGCGGGTCTATCTGTCCCCATAGCTCTTGCGCCACATAGCACCTGGCGCTGGGCGCACAAGCAAGTTCGCGCGACGTTTGGAGGCTCGTTGCGCAAAAAGCATGGCACGTGACCAGTTCGATCCCCGCAGCTCCACAATACGAACCTGACACTTCTCAGCTCTTGGGTTGAGTAGGACTAGGACTAGGACTAGGACCAGGACACGAGTAGAGGCCTCAAGCGTGGTTGCCGTCATCCAAACGCAGACCTTGTTGGCAGCGATCTCGTGCAGCCCAGGCCTTGGCTAAGCCAGGTCTCTACGTGTGATTACACAGGCGAGCCGAGGACGACACAAGGACATGTAGACGGAGACCACATTCTTATCTTCTTCGTCCACGAAGGAGATCTCTTTGATCTCCGACCAGTTCTCAATGGTGTTGACCCAGTCTCTCTGCTCCTCGCATATCTGCATCTGCTATGTCAGTCTTCGCAGCTTCCTCCCCGGCAGGACTCCTTGAAGGATTGCGCAAGCCTTCCTTCGTTCAGGTCCAGCTTCTCACTGTACCTCGAAGGAAACACTCCAGAATACGTAGCCTGAATGGCACAGATCTCTGTGGATTCTCAGCATAGCACAGTCCTCCATCCTTTCCGAAAGCACTTGTAGCTCCGGTAGCAACTGCGATTTCCGCGTCAGGAATCGGAACCTGCCGACAGCAGTGTGCCGGGAGGACGATGCAAGCCGCTCCAAGATCCAGTCTAAGCTGACGGCCGTGTCTGCTTGCTGCTTGGCCTGGAGAACGTTGCTTCCCGCTCCCTTCATCTCAGAATCGGTATTGATGGTATTGTCGTTCCGCAACTCTCAGTTGCCTCAAACAGCTTTTGGCGAACCTCCGCATTCTGAGGCTCAAGCCTGCAGAGTCTGCAGTCCATCAGAGTTCTGGGGAAAATCCCAAGTCCTTTGGCTCTTTGTACACAATCTCTGCTGAACAACAACTTTTAAGAATTGTTCAAGCCACGAGGATACAAACGTCTGAAGGCCTGTCCACCTCATCTTGTTTGGGATTGCTGCTACCCACGAGCCCTGTTGCTGGTTGCATCAGCTGTCCATCTTCTGACACTTGACAAGATCCCGCTTGAAGGAAACCAGCAGCTGCCTTTGAGCTTTTTGAAAGTCCTGAGCAGTTGCACTATCCGCATATGATGGTGGCGGTCTAGAGTCTAGATCCGTCGTGCCTCCACAGCACCGCGAGGGTCGCCCAGATTTAGGCGCGACAAGCCTCGCCGGTACACCTGGGATTGGCAAAGGAGGGCTGTGCTGGACATCCTCCCCGATTCTGGCCGAAGGCAGAGAGTCGCGCTGCTTTGCTGTTGGATGCGTCGGCAGCCAAAGCCGCAGACGCACTCTCCTTCCGTCGTGAATCAGTGGACTTCGATCGCAGAAAGGCTGGGCTCTTGCCCGACGGGCCGCACCTCGGCCTCTTGGAATCGTGACAGCTTCAAGAAGCAGAGAGCCTCCGCAGTTGAAGACAGAACCGTGGAAGTGCAGATAACCGAACAATCCCGAACACCTGATTCGATGACAAGGTCGACTGCAGGGTCGCGTCGACCAAGTCAGACCTAGCAAAGCCGAGCTTCGGAGAAGAGCTACGAGCAGCAAGTCCCTTGCTGCCTCCCCAAGCTCTGCAGCGCCGAGGCGTAGCAGTCCAGAGCCGCCTGAAGCGGAGGAAAGGTCTGCGAGGAGCCGAAACCCCGGGTCCTCCGACCTCCAAGTCGCCGTTGCGAAAGTGGCTGCCACCCTCTGCCTCCAAACGCTTCAGGAATCTCTGAAGCGGCATTGAGGGATACCCTACTGTACTACACAGGAGGCTTGGGGCACAGGCCGCGGGCTGTGTGACATAGGCGCCCCCCGATACAACAACTTGGAAAGCCCAGAAGAGAAGCCCAAACGGTGAACATCCCATATCCCAGGAGATGAGGGGTGGCGGGACGAGAATGCAAGAGAATGACGTGTGGCCATCAGAAATGGCTAAAGGAGTGATGCATTCAGAACAAGCCCCCTAAGCCTGCCACAATAACTGCTGAAGCCCTGAAAAGGAAGTGCGACCGCAAATGGTGGCTCCTCAAACCTTGAGAGCCGAAAACCCCCCAAAAGTAACAATCTGGCATAAAAGACCGGAGTCAGGCTTAAAAACATGGCAAAGAAAGACTACAAAGGGCAGAGAGACTGATGCCAGATATCGCAACAAGCAAAACAGCAGACACACAAATCATACAGGAGTCATAAAACGAAATGATGGGTGGGAAAACACGTATCAAGAAGGGGGTATCGGCCACACGAAAGCGCTGGGTGGGAGCCCAGACCGAAGAATCGAAAAGGACGGGTGAAGAAGAGAGTCGTGCACTGGATTGGCCGATTAGCGCGTGCACAGCGGATCCATGCACTCTGGCAGGGTTTTGTGTGTGACACACTTCTCGGAGGAATCTCGCATCGAGCCTTGCCTCCCGCGTTGGAAGTGTCGAATTCGACACGAGTTATTACCCGCGATATCTGCGAACGGAACTGCGGCAGGTCCGGGAATCGTTTCGATTTAGGAGTAAGAGGCCGCACAAACCCCTTCACCTAACTAAGCACTCTGCAAGACTACGACTGTCAACAACAAACCAGGAGGGTTGCTAGCCATTTTGCGGATGTGTGTTCAGAACGGGCCAGACCTACTGTTGACTCTGTTGATTTAACATCCCAGCAGCAACCCCGGCTAAAGCCTCAGACTTAAACCTCTCTTCAAAAGGACCCTTAACTCGAAAACCCTCAAACCCCAACACCCTCAACGCTCGCCTCTCATTGGCCATGCCGTTCAGCCCAAACCAGTTTTCCCAAATCCCTAAACCCACCCTAAACCCTAAACCTTTTTTTGGGGCGGCCCTATGCAAAGCAAACACAAGTCAGCGTACTCACTGTGAGTAGGAAAAGAACGCGCTAGACCTGAGGAGCTTCTTGCACGTTGGCAGCCCCACTAACTGAAGCCAAGCCGGACGGTTAACAGCCAGCCTGTGAAGCAAAAGGAAGGCAAAAGGAAAACTAGGGGCGAGAGTAGTCATGGCATTAGGAGTGTAACCTGCAACCCTCAAACCCTAAACCCTGCTCGAACACGTTGAGTGATCGAATCGGCTGTTGTCTGAACTGCGTGTGCTCGAATCGCGTGCGAATCCCATGCTGAAACCGGCGGCGTACTTGGAGCAGCTGGTGCTTGAATCGCCTCGAATGGGGTGTGCTTGAGTCGCGAACGATTGCATCGAAGTGCTCGGTTCCGTAGTCTTTCACGAGACACGAAAAGGACTCAACCCCGTGTATGGAGGTGTGAAGCCAAAGCCCCACAAGTCATATGGGGTCATGCCGCCGGCCCCACCACAGACACATTCAGAGCCAGATGCAGGTAGCTGTTTGACCTGTTTCGGTTTCGGGGATGCATGACAAAGCCCTGGTTATTTTCATGTGTCGCATGTCATTCATTGCAGAGAGTGTCCAAAATCAAAAGCCGATTAGCTTGCGAACAAAAACACGGTGAGCCGAGGACTTGGCCTGATAAGATGAGCTGACTAAAAAATGAAACCTGCAGAGATGAATTGCCGCGTGGGGTTCGCTCTGCTTCGGATCGCACAACGCTCCGGAACTCAAGCAGAGGCCCTGGTCCAGTGGCCTTAAGTTGTTCGGCCACCTGGCGGAGGTCGCGTCCTGGACACGGATGGCAAGCTTTGCACCCCGGGCCAACTGAAGTCTGCCAGGAGTTGATGGGATTCTAAGTCGTTCTGAGAGGGCGGAGATTTGGAT